CAGAGGCATGTTAAACTTTTTATTCACTTGTTTACTACTAAATGAAGGCTTTGTACAGACGAACTGTAGTTTGGAATGTTGCTCAACCTGAATGTTTTTGTTTAGTGTGGCTGACAGACTACAATAATATTAATAATAAAAATATCCTAACCTTTACTTATATGGAAGAGGGGATGAAATGACAGAGTAGAATAAAACATTTAAAATGCACAGTCATTAAAAAACACCCCATTTGTTTGCTTCGTAGTTTACTATCAAAAAGTCTGAATTAGTCTGTGATACTGAATTAAACTTACAGAGACACAAATGTGGTGAAATCTTTAGCTTTTTCCTTGCCTAACGACTCTTAACCTCTACACTACACTCTTAAATTGAGTATTTTCTGATATTTCTTAATGTCAAAAATTATCATCTTGATAAAGGATTTTTGACTGCATAAACATAAATAAATCTAGAACATCAGTTAAATGACGTGCAGAAACTGCAAGTGCAACACTCTTGCAGTGACACATGTAGACACTGCAAAGAATATCTGAAAATATCCAATCCACATCTCTGATCTGTCAGTGCAAGGCCACAATTAATTGAAGTTGCAAAGTATTTTCTTTCCCCATGTAGATCAACAATGTCTTTGACAATTAGCCTCCCACCCCCTCCCCGAGGACTGAGGTCTGATTCCGTCATGTCACCCACTTCATATAATGAAGAGACAGCGGGTGTCATGTCTGGACATGGCAATCTGCTACTGACATGAGAGTTAGAGTATTAAATGGACTAACTGTCGGCTTTACCATCAAGGAACACCGGTGTCTGAGCCCAATGATTACCACGGCCCCAAACAAAAATGACATTTGTCTGACAATAAAATTGGATACTAACCTGTCTGAAAGCTGTCTCCATTTGCCTAGAACAAGTGCTGGCAAACAGTTTGACACACTTTCCCCTTGAATGCACAGAGAAGGCAAAGCCATCCTTTGGCTCACGGTAATGGCCCCTCATTGTTGGCCACAGAGGATGTGGCGCTATTCATACCGGTGGATGATTGAAAAGAAAATTGAATCCCTTTTGATGTGATAAATGTGTCTATTACTGCATTTGCACACAAAATGTCGGTGGAAATTATAGTGGGGAGGCAGGGCTCAGAGGAGAAAATACATAGGGATGGCATATTGGCTAGCTTTGATTGGAGCTGAAATATAAATATACTGTACCGGTAGATGTAATGAGTCCAAACTCCCTGATTTTTCCACAGGAACTTCGCAAATGAAAGGCCTTGAGAGCCCCAATTGTAAGACTATATAAAAAGGTTAAATGTCTGCATAGCCCTCTCTCTCTTTTTCCATTCAAAGAGCTGTTTGATAAAGGACACCAACAACTGTTTGCCTTGTAATAAAAGGGAATTTTCTCTTTTCAAACACTTCTGAAAGACAGCAAGAAGCCTGGGGAAGAAAGAAGCCACAGTATTTTTGTGGTGCATAAAGTGATGCACTGCGAAGGACAAATTAATTTGAAATTGTTAAGCCAGTTGATGAATTGCGTTGATGTATAATATGCATTTATAAAAATGTTCTCTTTGTAAATAAAATCCCATGCCATTTTGGAAACATTTGGAATGCAAGTATAATAATGTTATTTGAATTTTAAATAGTTTTTTACCTAATGTTTTATTTTTTTTATTAACACTTGCTTTTTGGGGGTAACTTCTTACCTTAAAATAATTGAGTATTCTGTAAGCATTAGAAAAACAAATGACCTATAATTACCTTAAAAAGTAATGATTTATGAGAGGATACATGTTCTCTAGGTCAAATTTTGTTGCAAAATGGTCTAACAAACTTAATCTTAACAACCCAGCCCAATAAGTATATTATTGAGTGGCATTAGAAAAGTAAGAAGAAGACAGAACAAACATTACAAATTTCAAGAAATGCTCTTGATTTTGGAATTTGAAGACTTGCGATGTATGAAATGTATAAATAGTTGTAGAAACAAACATACAACACTGAAAACAAAGCTAATGACTAATCAAACAAAACAAACTAATCAAACTAAGTTTGTTATTCTTTGCAATGTTTCACTTCTAAGCAAGAAGTTTCATGACTAAGTTAAAATGGGCTGAATAAATCAGGTGAACCCCTGCCAAAAGACGCAAAATGGTTTAGTCAGCCCTGCACTAGGATTCATCTCCAAATGGTCTAATCGAGAAGAGTGATGGAGGATGCTGGAGAATTAACATGCCTTGTGACAGTTATGTCTGTCCCCAAGAAAGGGAAATCAAGACACCAAAAAAGAAAAGACTGAAAGGAAAGTGAAGGAAAACAGCTGCCAAGTAATTTCTTTCAGAAGAAAGATGAGCACAATCACAACTAACACAGTTAAAGAATGGTTTAAGCTAATATCAGCAGTTTGGTTTGAAGAAAGGAATCTAGCTTCTAGGCTAGCACATAAATCATTATCAGCATCATAAATTAAACTTTCCAAAGGTTATTTTACTTTTAGGCCTACATGCCTTTCAACTACTAACTTACACAGTGTAGGCTCTGACTGATATAGATGAAATGTACTGAAATTATACACATGGCAATGTAAAGGCTATTATTTATTTGAAAGCTGATGTTTTTGTCTTCTTGTTTCTGCAAATGAAACATGACTCTTGTGAAATCTTGTTCAGCTGCCTTTTATGCAGTATGGTAAGCATTTTCTCAATGTAGGGCTATGACAAGTAAAATGGCATTTTTTTCGGCTTTGTGTTGAACCTTGGTGAAGATGTATTCAATAAACATGAAGAAAATAATGTTACATTAAGCATGATATTCATAGCAAACCCCATTTAACAATATAAAGTAATTGTAGGATACAGTGGGATAAAACAAGCGGCTTATTACTGCATTATATTCTGTTGTATTTTTATATTTATGAATTATAACCTGCCGGCTGATTGTTTTTGTTTCCATTTATATAAATAAAGACCGTATATTGGAGCAAATGTCTGCTCTGGGGGGGAGGTACCCCAGACCCTCCGCTCATATATTTGAGCATTTCGGATTTCTTCAAAACAGTGTTAAAAATCTTCTCGTCATGTTCTCGTGCATCGTCATGTCTCGTGCCCTTATGTCCCCACCACTTTTCAACAGAAAATGACGCCCCTGTTATTACTTGTTTAAATGACATAAGAAAGGTTCAACCCCAATTACTACCACAGTTAAATGTGTACAGTTGTTAGCTCAATTATTTGTCAACATGTTTCAAAAGATGTGTGAGAGACAGGGTCCTAGAGAGGAAGGGGGCCCACAGAGACTGTGTATAGGGCCCAGTAGCATGTGGGCATGTTATTCATGGCGATTTGTTGATACCTGGCTTTTTATCCAGAAAACTTGGAAAATGTTTTGTAGCTGTAACCAAGATATGATCCTTTATCCGTAAAAAAACACAATCTGTGGAATCTTCCAATCCTCTCCTTCTACTCATTTTATTTCCACATCTTGCTGAATAGATATAGCTCATGGTTCTGTCGCTTAAATGAATTGAGTGAAAAGACCCATAGTTTAGGTAATGTCAAGAAGTCAAGAGAAACTTCAGTATCATTAACTCAGTTTTGTTTCTCTTTCATGCTGTCCTCAACACAACTGGTAGGCCTACTTTGTTGATCCTTTCATAAATTATTAATTTTCAAGGCTCAAAGGCACAAATGTTAATGTCTGCATCCCCCAGACTGACAATCGGGAACAAGAAAAAAAGAGAAGCAGGAGAGTAAATGAATCTGTTGGAAAAGTGTCATCACAGCGTAGTTATTGTGTGTCATCTCTTTTTCAACCAGCCCTCTTGTTTAGCTGTACTTGAGAGGTACATGCAGTAACACAAACATTGACTCCACTACTCTATTCTACCGCCTGACCCTTACATTTTTAATCGAGACACTCATCTCTCTTTCAATACACAACATCTTTGATGGTGAAACGCTCTTTGATGGCAAGTGAATTTCATTTGCGTCTAAAAGCTTGCAAACTATTCGGTGCAAGATGATGGCCACATTCGTGACTTCTAGGCAATTACTGTAATGATGCAAAATGGTAAACATTGGCCCAACATCTAAATAATTTAACAGACTGAAAACATGCTGCTCCAATGTTTATGAAATTCGTTTTGTGTTTTACAGAGTGATCATGTTGAAATGTTCCATGGCATTGAGCTAGCATGAAAGGTCATGTTTGACTGACTAACTGTATGATATTTAATGGGTCCTCTAGATTACACAATGACTCGGGTCAGACAATAGACTCCACAAATTTAAAGTCTTTGCTGCTGCACACAAGCCAAATGTAATACATCTGAAAAAATATTTAGAGACTCAAAAGTCATTTCATTGGCCTTGTTTTTGTTGCATGCTTACTTTTTAGCTTGAATAAATTTCAATGTAAACTGTAAACTTAATTCTGCATATGGCCTGTGGGACTTGCTGCAGTTTGTTTTAATGTTAGAACAGGGTGGTAGAGGATCACGGGTATCTGACAGTGCTGGAATTGACTGCAAAGAGAAGAGAGATTTTGGACACAAGTGTCACGTATTGGTGGCTGACGTCTGGTTGAATGGGTTACAGACATCAGATGATGAAAAGTTAATTAATTGCAGGTCTTTATTTTTCTGTTTATTGAGCACTTGGAGAATATTTTCTAATCATGCAGTCATTTCAAGTACAGTGAAAAGTGTCTTTTTCAGTGCATTTTTAGTGTCTATTTCAGATCATTAAAGTTCTATTTACAGGCATTTTTCTTTTGGCTGCGCCTCAGAAAGACTCTAATGCATACATAAGTTAATAGGGCGTATACTGAAGCAAAACTTGAATCATCATGTTTCAGTACAGAGCTTCTAAATCAGTGTTTGTTTCTCCCAGTAACTTTTCTTATTGAATTCTGTTTAACACTACATGTGCCTGCTGCAGAGCTCCAACCACCATTGGTTAATACGTAAACTCTGCAGCAGTGGGGATGAAGATGCCCATAGGAACATTGGTCCCTGATAAGCAAGCTGGATTGATGAGTCACTGGGCACACATGTGGACAATTTCAGTGACTTGCTAATACCACTGATGGCTCACGAATTGTTCTGACAAAGCAGATCTTAGAGCTCTGTTGTGGATCATTTAGACTTTTCTGTCCACCCCATTTAAGTCTGTTTTGTTTATTTTGTGTTGTTGTAAGATTAAACCCAGATTGGACTGTCTAGAATTTTGATCCAAGTGGCCCATGTTTGGATGATGTTTGATTAAGTCATTGGTCTGAAACGTTCTAAACCATAAACCATTTTTTTGGAGGTAAAATATCAAAGGTTGGAGGTTGAAAATGGACAGTGGGTTTGCCAGCGCCGGGAATCAGCTTCCCCATGTGGACATTCATGTCAATGAGCATGAACCTCGTAGAGGAATTCTGGACCTCCTCAGCAGACTCCGTCCTCATTGGAAGGCAAAGGACATTCAGCTGAAGGCAAGTGAATGTTTGTCACTCTAGGGTTATCAGTATCTGCAATTCAACAATAATTGTATCTCAATATACAGCATTAGTTGTTTGGTAGGTTAGTTAGTGGTAGGCTTCACACTCCACTACAGCGTTCAAAAGACATTTCTGTTGCTTATACTTATTAAATGACCATCGGTATACAAGTTTTGTTTGAGCTTGTTAAACAAACTTGCAGCAGATCTCAAGCATTTTTTAGACATCGGGAGCAAGTGTTCTCTACACATACAATGGTTGGGATCCATAAATAACATTTTGGTTGTATAGTCCAATATTTTTCCTCACCTATATCAAGTCCACATTTAAGTGTCCCGTTAATTTACTGCATCTCCACAGACTGCAACCCTAACCCTAACTTAGATGTTGAATGTCACGTTATTATGTCACATGAAACTCAGTATTATTGGAGTAGTATTTTACATATTGTGACTACAACTGCAGTGTTGACTGAGACTGCTGTAATATAAAACTGAACTTCGCTGCAGAACACAGACCATATTGTCAGCATCTTCCATTAATTCACGGCTCCACATTTTTCTTCTTACTTTCCGTTCATAGCATCAGGGGCAGGGGGAAATGAAAAATTTAGTTCGGACAGCAAGATTATTCTGTAATCGCTAATGTATGTACAGGGACAGAAGCTGTGGAAGCACTGCATGTTGAGTATGAATAGTACTGTAGTGTACAACGGACATGTTCTTTCAGACAAAACAAGCTCGAATTTTCATATGAAATTAGCCATGCTAGTTTTTGCACCAATGTGAATGAATGAAGACGGAAGGTCTTTATAAATTCTCAGCATAGTCCTGCCTAATGTTACTTTAAAAGGGCTCTAATCTGTCTTAATAAGGCCTGTGTGGTTTGATGTCAAACCACATTTCAGCAAAACTGTTACTTTTAAGTCTTAAAAAGAAAATGTTGTGTTTGCAAAAGACTGTCATGTGTCATCTTCTTAACATGACACTGTGTGTGTGTGTGTGTGTGTGTGTGTGTGTGTGTGTGTGTGTGCATGTATATCTATACAAACTCACAGCCCATTAGGTACACATTAATAGTGCCAGGGTGAAATGCATATATATACACATATATATGCATATATATATATGGATGACAAAATTAAATGCCTCATCTTCTGCAAATATTGCACTATATAGAAGAACACCTTAAAGTAATAAACCCAGCAGAAAAGCAAAGGTAACTGATAACAAAAGTAGACTTATGTACGGTGTTGTCAGGGCATCTGCTCAGAACAGGATAATCCCGTTCTGGTCGCTTGTGCAAACACAATGTCCAATCTTTCAGAGAAATAGGGTTTATGTTTGTTAGGTGACAGCACATTGGCTGGGTGACCTCCCAATCAACACAAGGTCCAGTAGTGTACACAACAGAGATGTTTCCCTTCAGCCCTCAGATCCCAACTGTCCCTTTAATGATGCATTGTGTTCATATGTTTGAAATATACAGAATGTGCTGGGGAAGTTTTGACAGTTCCCTACTGTACATCTGTATTAACTGTGTTAATATGTGCGAATTCTGTGAAATTAATATGTTATATCTTGTCTTTCATCTATTCATCATTGTATCTACTTTCTTGTTTTTATGCCTTCTTGTGAAGCATTTTTTATACAAATGAAACAATAGCTCAACCTCAAGGCGATGCAAGTTAAGGCAATTTGAGTACCTGATATTTGCTGCTGCATGGCTTGTTTTAGCATTTCTATAAAAGCAATTTATGTACACATGATGTTATTCTTGTGTGCTCAGAAATAAGTTTAGGAAGTGCTCTAAATTGTAAGAAAATAATGAAGCTTCATGTAAAGATAATAAATGCAAATAGAGACAAAAGATAGGAATTTGATAACAATGTGAAAGCCAGTGGAAAATATGTGGCCCTCCTTCCACTATATAAATAGTTGATCAGATGTCAAGGTGGGTATGTTTGTTCACTTTCCATCTAGATGAAAAGCTGTGTTGTGTGCAGGCCCCATCTGAGGCTCAGAAAATGCCTTGTAGATTGTGGCAGACAATGAGAGACTTTGAGAAACCACCAAATGACAACAAATGTCCAACGAGGCCTTTGTAGGCAAACAGTGGTCACTGTGGTATTGTTGTGTACATATACAGAGCAGTACAGGCTGTGCTGGAAGTGTGACCTTTAACGTCAACAAGTTCAGACTGCAGCTTTCAACAGCTGTACATCTATTAACATATCTGTCATTTACCCATTGTTGCATGTACTGTTTAATTTTACATTTGTTTACTTTTGGTTGTTAGGAAAGACTTATTAAGAATTATTCTATTGCTGTAAGTGCTTTAGTTTTTCTTTTAGGTTTAATAAAAACAATCATAGATCCAAATTGAATTTCAAAGGATACAAAGTGAGTTATATTCTTTCTCTTCTATACATATCAGCAGGGGATGGGGATAGTTAATTTTTATTTATATTGATACCATTATTGAGACTGCTTAACAATCTGAGTCTTTATCGATACCACTATCAATACTTTACTATTATTTGGTGATGGTTATTTGGTAGGACAAGACCCAACAGGCCTGCACGGTATGAGGAAAATATTCAATGTGCGATAAGATTGTCACACATTGAAATGACAAAATAATAAATATACAAATATTGAAGTGTGCATATTAACTGCCTGGTTGTTTTTATTATAGGATTAGAATTTATTATTTTAAATACAACTAAATGTTGTTTCTAGAGCAGCAACAATAATGTTTACAACAGCAAAGTCACTATATACATGAGTGATGTTCAGAAAGAATGAAAAATCAGACATCAGTCAGCCTCTTCCTCCTCCTCCTCCTGCTCTCTGCTATTATTCACTGCCTGCAAGTAACGTTAACTGGTAGAAGGAGGAGCGGCTGGTTTGTCTCAGTCAGCAACTGAGTTTTTAACAATGTACCAAATTTTAAGACAACAGTCCAGTCTATGTGTGAGAGAGACAGCTTTCTATTAAGCTTGTTTTTAACATTTGGCTAACGCCAAGCTGACGTTAGCTGTGTTTGTATAAAACATACAAGATAAGAGACTGAGGACAGAGCAGTTTAAATTAACCCTTTCTATATGTTTACCCTACACACAGGTGTATTGATAAATTATTATCTTTTTACTCAAGAAGGTTTTATTGTACGTACTTACAGTAACGAGTGTAGCTGTCTTCCACTTGAGTAGTTTCGAGCTAACTTAACTTCACCGTCTCCACCACAATGGAGCGTCGTCTCTCTTTGCTGGCCGCTGTGTGTGTGTATGTAGGAGCTGACAGAGAGCAGCAGAAGTTGCAGCCTGATCATAAACAGTACACTCTTTAGTCCCAGGTCTGTTTAATACCATGTTTCGGTATTAAACGCTATCACTAAATAAACATTAGTTTTCTTATTCATTGCATTTCAAGTTAAACCAGATTTGACACTTGAGACATATCGTTACATTACAGGACCACTAGTCTCTATAGCAGTATCAATAAACTCTGACCTTATTGATTTTTGGGTTTTGAGAACGTTTGGAACCGGGTCCTTTTAGAACCGGTATCGATCCCCATCCCTAAGCAGGACTGAACTGTGACATGGTATTTATGGACCAGACCGGCCCACCACAGTTGATCAAACACTACCCACCAGTAGTGGGTAGTGTTACCTCCTTGTGGTCCCCTTAAATATGTGTACTGTACAATTCTGCCAAAACAACCACAAAGTAAGTATTAAGTGGAAAAGTGTACTAGTGCAAGTGGGCTGGTTTACTCACTGGCTCTGACTGACTCCCTGGAGATCAGAGGTGGCTGTGGAGAACACAATATCCTTACTCAAGTAGAACTACAAGTAATTGTCAAAGAAAAAGCTCTGCTAGGTGTTGAAGTATCACTTTGAATTATTTAATACAGAAGTATACCCCACAGAGGATTCTAACAGTACTCCATACCATATATATCATAATAGTAACCACATAGCTGAAATTAAACAAAGGCCAACTTTGTGGCCTGTTGTTGGAAATGAAGGCTTATGCATAAGTAGGCATACATTTGAGCACAGTACAGCTACAGATGTAACCTATTATACAACCTTTTCACACATCTTTATCAAGGGAACACTTTAATTTTAAAGAATGTTATTAAATAAAACAAAATTATATCAGTCCCAAGGTGTGTTGGCCCACCAGGAACAACAGATTACCAGTCCAGTGCAGTGCTGTCTTATTCTGTGTATATAAAGTGTGTTGTTCTGTTCACAATAGTATCTTGACTGTTAATCCAAAAGAATGTAGGTATTATTTACTTTACTTTACTTTACTTTGATTTACTTTGTGGTTTATTGACTATCACTTTATTATGGCTGGATTTACCTGTTACATGGAGACTGGTGCAAAAATATGTTGGAGCCCCATTGAAACCTCACCTTCCACCCTCTATGCATTGAGTATGTACTCTGTAGCCTCCAACTTCCAAAGTACAGTGCATACAGCAGACTACAAATGGCAATTGTATACCCATAAACACCAACCAATTACTCCTGCTTGATTAACACTACCTGTTACAAGGTTTTAAGTTAGTTTGTGATAATCTGACTAAACACAAATTTATTTAAGAATACGTACTACATGAACACAATATAAATTAAAATGAGATTTTGACACAGCATCTCTCTACAGGGCCAAAACAATAGCTAATAATGCAGGGCCCATCTTGGTCAATATTGTAAAAACGTCTCGGGTTACGTATGTAACCCTGGTTCCCCGAGAAGGGGAACGAGACACTGCGTCAGTTACGACACTATGGGAACGCCTCTAGGCGTAGCAGGTCTGAACATGAATGAAATCACTCCAATCCTATTGGCTTGTTGCTAGAACGGTAAGGTGTGACGGAATAACCGGAGGAGTATAAAGCACACCTGTACACACTCATCATTAGCTTAAACTATGAAGCAGGCGCTTCAGGTGGGGAGAGAGGTGCGGCGGGCCGACACAGTGTCTTGTTCCCCTTCTCGGGGAACCAGGGTTACATACGTAACCCGAGATGTTCCCCTTCGAGGGAACTCGAACTGCGTCGGTTACGACACTATGGGAACGAGATACCCACTAAACCGTGCCGAAAACCCCGCCTGCCCCAGTGTGTAATAAAGTGGTACGACTAAGAGGAGAGCGCACGAGTGCCAGGTGCCGAAGGAAGGTCAAGACTGTAAAACCGAATGAATGTGTGCGGAGTGGCCCAGCCAGCCGCTAAACAAACATCCTGCAAAGAAGCCCCGGAAAGGAGGGCTCGAGAGGCCGCCATGCCTCTGGTAGAATGAGCCCTCACAGCCACAGGTGAAGGCAAACCACGCACCTGATAGGCCAGGGAAATAGTCTGAACAATCCAGTTGCTAATAGTATGTTTGGATGCAGGGAGCCCAGCCCTGGGGACCCAAAACACACTAGCAGCTGGTCAGCCTTCCTCCAACGGGAGGACCTCAGAGTGTAAATTCTCAGTGCTCTGACAGGGCAGAGCAGATGAAGTCTTCCGTCCTTCACCGTCACATGAGGTGGAGGATGAAATGCCTGCAGCACTGTGGACCATGCCGCACAAGAAGGCACTTTAGGGATGTATCCTGGACGAGGGTGCAGGATAGCCCTAATATTCCCCGGGGCAAACTCCAGGCTTGCGGGGAAACCGAAAGCGCTTGAAGATCCCCCACCCTCCTCAGAGAGGTGATTGCAGGGAGAAAGGCCATCTTGAGGGTCAAGTGCTTAGCCTCAGCTGACTCCAGGGGTTCGAAGGGGGCCTCAGCCAACGCCCCAAGAACCACCACCAGATCCCAAGTGGGAACCTTGGACCGAGTCGCAGGTCTCATCCTCCGGGCACCACGGAGGAAACGTACAACCAAGGGAAGTTTCCCCAAAGACCCCTCCCTGAGAGGGGTGTGGAAAGATGAAATAGCTGCCACATACACCTTGAGGGTGGAAGGGGAAAGACCAGCAGAGAACCGGTCCTGGAGGAACTCAAGTACCTGAACCACCGGGCAGGTAACAGGGTCCACCGACCGCTCCCTACACCAAGTGGAGAAAACACTCCACTTCAGGTCGTACATCCTCCGTGTGGACGGGGCCCTGGAGCTGAGGAGGGTCTCGACTGCTCCGGCTGTTAGACCCGCCTCTAGGTACTGTGCCCCCTCAGGGGCCAGACCCACAGTCGCCATATGGCGGGGAAAGGGTGAAGAACCCGGCCCTGCGCCTGGGACAGCAGGTCTCTCCTCAGAGGGACCCGCCACGGCGGGCCGTCCAGGAGCAACATGATGTCCGAGAACCACACCCGGGTTGGCCAGAACGGGGCTACGAGCAGTAGGCCGACATTATCCTGGCGGACCCGCTCCAGAACCCCCGGGAGCAGAGCGACTGGGGGAAAAGCGTACAGACGTAGCCTCGGCCACGAATGTACCATGGCGTCCAGACCCAACGGGGCTGGAGGAACGAGAGAAAACCATAGCGGGCAGTGCGTAGTCTCTTGAGACGCAAACAGATCCACGTCTATGGGGCCGAACTCTTCGCACAAGAGCTCCACCACTTCGGGGTGAAGTCTCCATTCCCCGGGCCTCAGCCCCTGCCTCGACAGCAGGTCTGCTCCCTGATTCTGCGTCCCCGGGAGATACATCGCCCTGAGCGATAGTAACCTCTGCTGGGACCACAGGAGATCCTCCGACAGATCATGCTGTGAACCCCATGAGTGAAGCCACCGGGCCGCCTCAGCGGCCGCAGGGCCCACACCACGGGGAGAACACATACTGTGGCTCTCTCGCAATGGCCGCAGGCAGCCCCCTCGAGAGCTGCCCGGGCATGCTCCATCCCCAAACATGAGACACACATCTCATGAGAATCTCCATCCGTAATGTACCGAGGGCAAGAAAAAAACACACCTTCTGTACATCTGGTTGCCGGACATGCTGGTAGACTTCTTCTTCAGGTAAGACACTCTGCTTGTAGGACTGGAGCTTTCTTCAAACAACATACAGAGCGCCTGCTGAATAGAAAAAAGCTAATGATGAGTGTGTACAGGTGTGCTTTATACTCCTCCGGTTATTCCGTCACACCTTACCGTTCTAGCAACAAGCCAATAGGATTGGAGTGATTTCATTCACGTTCAGACCTGCTATGCCTAGAGGCATTCCCATAGTGTCGTAACCGACGCAGTTCGAGTTCCCTCAAAGGGGAACCAGTTGACACACAGTGAACCTGAGGCTTTTGGGGCCCGTAGGAGTTTGGGACAAATCACCCACTTTGCCCAGTTGGTAATTCAGCCTTGCACATTATCTTGCATATGACAACAAAGTCACATTATTTTAACTGAATCATTACTTTCACCTCACTCTTTTGGTATGTACACCAGTACTTTTAATGTCTTGGGTGTGTTTATGACACCCAAAACCGATTCTCAGTGGTGGAATGTAAGTACATTTTCTTACTAGTAGTACAAGTACTCAAGAACTGTAAACTTTTTATAGTTATGCTACCTTATACTTTACTATACTATACTTTTAACTATATTTCAGAGGGAAATATTGTACTTTGCACTTAATTTTTTCACAGCCATTTTACTAGTTACTTTTAAAATTAGGATTTTCCATAAAAACATATGTTCAGCTAGTAAAATATGATGCATTGTGAAAGACATAACAACAAACAGTACATAGTTGTTTAGTGCCACATACAATTTATTATTAGTATATTAAAACTATGCCTACATGAGTAATTTGACTTGTGATAATGTGTTTTTACTGCTGATTCTTCATGGCTTGCACATTGAGTTGCAATTTTAACATCTGTGAAAATGTGAGAATGCCTATTTGAGAAATTAAGGATTAAATGTCTACACAAATGTGTTTCTCAACTTTCTTTTCCAAATTAGCAATTGCTGGTAATGATCTTAGTATTTTTAGTATATCTTTTGTTCAATATTTTTTCTTTAATGAAATGTTGATATAAGACATTTGAGGTAAATGAGTCTTAAAAGCAGTAAATTAGCAGCCTGTAAATCATATGGTATCAAATGTGGTAATCCAGAGTCCTGAAACCAAACATATTGCATCTGTTGGGTGCATGTCTTTACCTTCAAAAGCTTTGAGTGGAACCATGCTTAGTGTGATTTATCCAAGATTGATATGGTTAAACGGTAACTCACACTGAGGTTTAGCAGAGTGACCCAATAAAAGTTCTCTCTTGAACAATATTTACAGAATAAGGACTGCCTGTCACAAACTAGAACTGAGTATGCTGTAATTGTAATGTCTACATATTATTCTAAATGCTATCATAAAAAATTCTCTTTTTCTTTCAGAAGAGTATTTGTTGACACATCATTTTCATCAGTAAAGTTACACATAAGCACCAATTTACAATGGTCTTAGAAAACCAGCATTGATTTAAGTGGTATGAACTACAGTATCATGAAAAGATGAGTAAGTAAGTAAGTGTTTCATTTACTTTGTTCTACCTGAAAAGTCCAAACTATGAGTGTTTTTTTGTGTTCATTACCCTTTTGATTCCCTTTGATTCCAGACATTCACAGAAGGCCTCACCAACCAGTTGATTGGCTGCTACGTGGGCTCTCTGCAAGAGCCTGGCTGTGTTCTGGTGCGACTGTACGGCAGAATGACAGAGCTCTATTTGAATAGGGACCGGGAGATGGAGATGTTCCAGGTCTTCCATGCTCACGGGTGTGGTCCACAGATCTACTGTAGCTTCCAGAATGGCATCTGCTACGAGTTTGTTACAGGAGCAGTGCTGGATGATGAGATGCTCCGGCAACCATCCATCTACAGGTCTCTGCCAGAATAGCTTTCAATTTCTTTCTTTTGTAAAGTTGATTCGATCAGAGATGGTGTGCAGAGCATATCTGTGCTTTGTTTGGGAATGTCCTGGTTCACATTGCCACATTTATACATTCAGTCAATAAACTGACCTGTTCAAGCAGCAATTGCCAGTGATGACCCTCGTCCAAAGTTACAATTTGGTCATAAAAGGGCAAAAAGTTTATATAAGAGTTCTTCTGTCTTCAGAGTTGATTGACTGAGAGTTAATCATCCACATTAATTTGTCAGAAGTTTTCAAAAACTAAGTTTGCCTTACAAGATGATACATTTTATTTATTAAAGGGAAGATAAAAAATATATATTTCATATATGTTTCAAACTGGAATAAAATAGGAAGAACACTTTATACTGTTATATCATATAAATATGCAATATTTTTTAATGTTACATTTATTATTTATTAATACATATATATTAAACAAAAACAACATGTTCACTAAATGTCGTAATGACTTGTGAATGCAGTGATGTGGCATAACATTGTGGTATTTATTATTTTAACAAGACTGGTTTGAAAAATCTATTTAATCAATTTAAACATATGGCAATTAATATGTCTTTGTTACCACAGGGTTAACGTAGGTTGCATGTAGTAGGAAGGCTGGTCATACAATGGCATCAGTATCAGAAAAATACAAAAATAATCAAATAATGTTCATGGCTGTTATTTTCAGGTCCATTCCAGTGGTTGAACTGTATAAATTCAACAGGTTTATTAAGAGTAATTTGAACCTGTGGTCATTTGTTTTCTAAGAAAGCAGTTAGAGGTCATGCGTGTGTATATATTTTGAACATTTCAATTGTGCTGATGCTGGTGTTTTAAAAATGATTTCAGTTGCCATGTTTCATGTTGAGCAATGTTATTTACTTGTGCCCCTTATTTCACTCATCATCCTCATGATAACAGTCCAGCGTCATTATTCTCTCCACAGGACAGTAGGACACAACACAGTCTGCCAAGGCTGAACAGCCAGGGCCATGATACACATCAATCACCTTGCTCTGCCTGAAACCCTCTGTAGGGAATACCCAGAAAACTTTATGTCACCACTAAAATGCCTTGAGAATGAGCACTCAAGTAGTCAAAAGGTCATGAATGCAACAAGGCCCATTTTTTGAAAACAAGGAACAAGATAAGGGTGCTAAATGGAAAGGGAGTTGACTTCTACTCTGATAATGGTTGTTTGTGCAATAACAGCATCAGCCAGGCTCATCTGAGAAAATGTTTTCTCTTCACAGATTGATCGCAGCAGAGATGGGGAGAATCCACTCTATCCAGCCAAAATGTGGTCTCCCTGTTGAACCTCTACTCTGGACAAAAATGTCCCACTTTCTCACACTGGTGCAGAGCAGTATCAACAGCAGCCCAGATGAGCAGTGGCATGCAAAAAGGTCTTGACAAAATGATCTCAAAGTATTTGTATTTTAAATATCACACATCTGAGCATGACATGTTCCTTAATATTTACAACCCAATACACCTTGTCACAGGTGCCATGAGCACCTCAGAAATAACTTTGCTAAGACAAACTACATAACTAAGTTTTTTACTATAAAATTTAGTCTGGAGGACAAACGAAGAAACTGATGTTAGCTTGACCAAGAAATATTTAATTGAGGACATGACCTGCCACCTAACTGTAAAGTTATAGATATAAAAAGGAGCATGACTCTGCATCTGTATGGCCTATTTATCGCCTCAGATGTATTAACAACAAGATTTCGGTACAGTGAAAATCTTTCTGAGGGACAGTAGGGAATACAGATGTCAGACCAAATCTACCACATGTATGATAAGGGTTTAGGTTTAGGGGTTCACATTGCCCTAAAATCACAAGAGAGAGGCAAACCAGCGAGGTACTTTAGTCAATCAGACAGGCATTTTATTTGTGCTTGGGCCTATTAAAGATGATCTTGAAATTTTGAAATGTTTCTCTTATGTACTCTAAGATCCTGAGATATGGTGTGGTTAAATAGGGGAGCAGGCAGCTGATCAGATCCTTGTGTCTTGGTAGGGATTCTGGCGTGTGCTGGTAGTGGACATAGTGTGGTTGAAGAGGGTAGCAGGCAGCTGATCAGATCCGTGTGTCTGGGTGAGTCTAGCATGGCGGGTAACAGGTCAGGTCTTAAGCACAGCAGGAGATTTTCTAAGCACAAGTAAACTAACATGAATGAACAGGTTCAAGATCTAACACACAGAAACTAAGTGCAAATGTGGAGGGACTGGTTAAACGATATCTGCTCTAACATAGCATAACATAACACTAATATGTCCGCCTAACTAGCTTAATGCCAACAGTACTAATCTAATCCAGCTTTACTTCAAAATCCACATTATCAACAAACAAATTTAGTCTGAGGGGTTACAGTTTACATTAAAAAAAAAGCTACATTGACGACCACTGTTTTTATCATTGGAAACAGCATTATGTGCTGTGCAATAATGTAAAGCTTGACAGGTGTAGCAACGGAAACTGGTCTTAGTGAATGGTCAATTATCCTGGCAGGTGTAGGACATGTTCAAATTAATGCATGTATGCATACTGTACTGGAAATTACATTTAAACAAATACCTATTGAGCTGGCTTTGGGATGCTGCCTCAGTGGTAGACAGTCATCCCTTTGATAGAAACCAGCAACATTTTCCACATCTTTATCTTTCAGACAGCAGCACTTTCACTGATGCCTTATCATTTTCTCACATACCAAATGTACATTTCTTAAACCTGCCCACAGTGCTCCTATCCACCCATACATTGTCCTTTAAGTAACTGAACAGTTAGTGCTCGAATTTTGTTGGCACATCCACCTCTCTCACCATGTGGATTCATTGTCATTGGTCAGAGGGACGAGGCGGAGGAGTGGCCTCTGTGGCAATGACATTGCGTTATCTCTGACAGGGTTCACAGGGTGAGAGGTGAGAGGGCCCTTCCAGACACTACAAAGAAACAGACCTCGGCCACAAGCTTCCTGCAGAGCGCTCCCTTATCGGTCAAACGTTCAACCTTGTTTATGTTTACAGCAAAAGGGTCAGAAGTCCACACAAACTGAAACAGGCCCAGAGTCTCAGAGTCGCTTCAGAACAACTGGAGTTTCATCTTTGAGTTTTATAATGTGAGCAATGTGAGTATTTGGCACTGGAGTGAGTCATCCATAAAGAAAGGGACTGTGGAGAAGACTTTTATGATAAGAAGTTTTAGCTTCCTGGATTCAGATCTAAGAGCAAACCAGTGTGAGTTTTCTTTGTCATCAGCAAGACAAGAAACACACAACTATTCTAAGTCAGTATTTTCTGTTTTGTTTACTTTTTCAAAATAAATACATTTTTACAGCACTTGCATTATTAAGCTATGGTATTTTGTTATTTTCTGCTGTGATGAATCAAGATATTACACACTCCAATATGCATCTACAGAAGCTGTCTGCACCTCATTTAGAGGCCCAATAGATGGTGCTATATTGTGAGACATTTGTGTGACTGAGTGGCTTGACATGGTCTACTGCTGCTCAAACACATACACAACATACAGAACAACTCAAAATTATCAGAAAAATATCAATAATTTAAATAAAGGATATAAACAATAATGAAGAGTGTTGGATAAGGACTGCTACAGCTCAGATCATTTATGAGATTTGAGATTTAAGAGATTAATTTATGTTTAAATATCTGTATATGTGACATGACGATCACACATACCCTTAAACAGAAGCGCAAAGAGACAGAGAGGACCAAAAATTTAAAATAAAAAGCAAAAAGGAGTTTAAACAGGCATCAGAGAAACTTTTGTACTTGAGGATGTATGAGTGCTGGTATGAATATGATCTTCAGAGGAAATGGTAAAAGAAAGGCAGAGAGAGAGCAGGAAGAGGCTGCACCTGCAGAGGAGGTCTTCAGCTCTCAAGCCACCCGCTGTGCAAAGAGAGAGATAGATACAGAGAAGAAGAGAGCGAGAGAGGGGGAGAGGGGGAGAGGGAGAGAGCCAGGGAGCGAAAGAGGCTGCAGCAGCTGCAAGGTTCGGAGAGAGAGTGCACAGTAGAAGTCAGAGATGGGAGAGAAAAGAGAGAAAAGCAATGGAAAGCAAGAGTGCAACCTCTTCTTCTCCAACAGGCCCCCTGCTATGTCTCCCGTTTGCACTCCCACGAATTGCATAAAACTGCTAAAAGGGGAAAAAAAGAGAAAAATCAGCAGTGCTCGGTTGGTGTTTGAAATCATATGTAAATAAGGCACATTGATAATGAAGCGCCAGAGGAGGAAATTCCACTAATTACCTTACAGAGACTTGACAAGAAGCAGGAGGCGAATGTACTTGACGTACTGTTTCTCATGAAAAGGACAGAAAAGAGAGAGGAAAAGATCTGATGGCAAGGCGACAGGTTTCCATTTAAAGTCAATGGGAGTCTTTCATTTAGCTTTCAACTATCGACTATTAGCTTTCTGACTAATCGTGGGTTTGTTAAAGTGTGTTAAGTTAAAGGAATGGATGGGTTTAAAAGGAATCAGGGTGATTCACCATATAACCGTGTGTTTTAATTCACATTAGAGAGGAGATAGATAAATTATGCATGTCAGAGGGGGTTGATTTTAAATAATAGAATGATTGGCAAGTAGCTCTAAATTAAACACTGACAGCTATATTCTAGGTCTTCCTATTTTGAAAATGCAAATTGGAATTCATATTTACAGTATTTGCACAATTTCAGTTGACAATAGAATAGATAATAGAATTGAAGTTAAATAATTAAAATAAAACTTTTTCAAAAGATCCAAATTGAAGCAGGAAACAGCTACTTTAAAAAGAATATATATATTTTTGCATACTTGCTTGCAGGTACACAGATGGATAGTTTAGATCTCAACATGCTTTTATTCAATCAGTCCTTCCTTGATCTGCCTATCCACAGAAGGAAGGAAGACTGAGTGAATGGACTAGAGGAAGATAATGTATAAAAATGACTTGTTTTGATGAAGATGTGTAGGAGGAGTTGTATAAGGCATCAGAGCCTCTGTGTCAGGACTATAAACAAGGCTCTGCTCCTCTGCTTTTATTGTGCGTTCCTAACAGGCATCACTAAATTATGTCTACAAGTGTGTATAGTACCGGAGCATCTGTTTGTTCCCCTTCGAATAAATAGGTAGTGTTTAAATTACACTGTTTAAATGACCCTCTTATCGTGGCCTGGTGACTGAAAAGGAAACATGAAAATTAATTAGAAAACAGATGCTTGCGCAGCATTTCTTCCAGGTGCATTCTCCACTGACGTCCAAGGACATTAGTGCCTTCTTTGATAGATTGAGCAATCAACAGAGTGAAAACAAGGCATGTAACCTCTCAATGAGGCTCGCCGATCTCCTTCAGTTTACAAACATGTAGAGTTCATGACAAAGTTGATCTTCCATATCTGCATTCTTTCAGAAAACTGTCTTACTCCCTCTGACAAAGTTGTGCCATCAAAGTTGTTTTCCCTTAATTTATACATGCTGAGTTCCATTTTTTTCCCCATTTAGCTGCTCTATATTTATGTATACATTTTCTTTATGTAATACTACTCTTTGTCAAATAGCCAAAAAAACACCAACCCATGGAGAATCCTGAAGGCCAGTATTTTAAGACATGAGTAACTATGATCAAATCAAGGATTTTTAATTTTAAAAACTGTCCTTTGAAAAAATTGCAAGAAGCCTGTGTTTTTTCTTTAACAGCTTTTATCCATGGTTGAAAACCCTCTAAAACAGCATTTACAGTAGACAACTAAGTAGACACCAACTCTGCTGAAATCCAGACAAAACAAATTCCTTCAGGGTGAACAATTCTTAAAGGCAGGTGAGTCACCATGTACAAGGGAAAATTCTAGGATAATTGATTCTCAAAAAGAACATTTGAAGAAGTAGTTAGCAAAAAAAACACAATAGTACCACTTTACATTGAGGCATACTTTCTAGTTAGTTACTATAATTATTGAGCATGTCCTTTCTTCTTTGTCATTTATTCAACTAGCTGGTTATTAATTGTGAACTCTTCCTATGTCCCATACTTGGTGGTGAAATGTAACACGTATATTTTCTCAAGAACTGTGCTTAAGTATATTATTGAGGAAATTGTACTATACTTCAGGGCTTCCATTTTCAGTTACTTTTACCTATACTACAAATCAGAGCAAAATATTATGTTTTAATTCACTACATGTATCTGTAAGAAATAGTTACCAGTTACTTTGCTGATTAAAATTTTACTCACAAATGACATATGACATATTGTTAGAGGTTAAACTACCCAACAGTCTATGAGGTAGTTGAAATATGCATCACTAACAATATTCCAATAATATAATATATAACAATGCAACAATCATAGAGCCCATTTGTCTGCAAAACAAATACTTTTAGTTTTGACTTAAACTACTTTTTTATTTACCCCTTTAATGGATTTTTGCCAAAGATGGCCAATTACGTGATAATTGCTGAATAATTATGATAGCTATCTTATGGGTCTAAATCACGAATATGGTGTGAGATGAAGACAGTATATTCCATTATCCATCCATCCATCCTTTCTAAAGGCGAAAGGCGGGGTACACCCTGGACAGGTCACCAGTCTATCGCAGGGCCATTCCATTATCCCACTTAGACTAATTCTGTAAGCTTATTGGTGGTATATTTGTCTGATTCATTGATTCAAACTAAAAGCTGAAGCTCTTGTCTTTTTGCAGCTTTTGGAATATAGCATCATGCACTGGCATAAATTTGATATATGCAATTTATTGACATCACGTTAAGCGACTCTTGGGTGTTAAACTTTGGCTGCCAATGTGCCCAATTGCCTTTTACAGTACAGCTATGAATCAAAGACACCCTCTTTCATAAAACATTCCTCAAAAAGTTGGACAATCTGGCCTTTTAGTTGTGACTTAAACTACTTTTTTACGAAAAAATTTAATTTCAGTGTTTTTTACCTCTTACAGCCCTGCGGCTCTACGAGAGGTGCCCAACTTTGAGACTTTGTCGGTTGAAATGGAGTCATTGAAGAGACACCTCTCTCATATTGACTCGCCAATTGTCCTCTGCCACAACGACCTTCTGACAAAAAACATAATCTACAACCACAAAGAGGGTGAGGAACTGCTGTACACATCACTGACATTGGAAAATGTGGAAAAAAAGATATATTATTATTATTTTCATGTGGAAATGTAACAGATTTCCATCACTGGGAAGCAATAAACCAAGTGAATAGTATTATACTAAACTAAACTAAACTCTTTAACTGTATCTTTGTGAATAAAAAGTCTCAGTCTGTTACTTAAGCTAATGTTAAAATACATTCTTCTTTTCACCACTTTGAAATAATGCAGTTCATAGAGTCTTCATTTCTTTGTCCTTGATTTTACATAGTCGGAAGGAGAAGCAAACCTTTGCACTACTGAAAATGGGTTGCAATTTTGTTAAATATCATACCTCGTTACTAGCATCCTTTGATTATGATATTATTTCTCCCACATATTTTACAAGAATGGCCCAGAGACTTTGTCAGTTAAAATGCAGTCATTGGCTCATGGTCCATGGTGACTCTCAGTCAAAAGAGACTCCTTGTTCCTTTGACTCCCTCAAGGTTCTGTACTGTCAATAAAAGAAGGGAGTCATTTATAGGCCTATACCTAAGATGTGTTCATCGTGTTGTCCTGGTAACTGCTGCTGCTTTCCCTTTCCACCCCCTACAGGAATGGTGAAATTCATTGACTACGAATATGCCGATTACAACTACCAGGCCTTCGATATTGGCAATCACTTCAATGAATTTGCTGGTAGGTCTGTGTTGTGATGAAGAGAAGTTCAATTTGCCTCCAAATCTTTTTTTCACGGCCAGAACATAATGTTGAATATTGAATGAAGTAGAAGTAGTGTAAATACAGTATGTGAAATGCAGAATCATTGTCTAGTTTGTGCTGTCTCTATGACTACAATATAATTTTATATTTCTGCCATCATGTACCATGAAATTATGTCCTTCTTCTGATGCTGCCAAGACAAATTGCTTTATCCAGTATGCATTCTGCGTGGTGTTAAAAGTGGCTTTGATGTACCAGCTGTGTCACAGTAAAGCTTTAGAGGGTTAATTCAAACATTAGTGCAGCAATCATTAATTTAACACTTTTAGATGCACCATATCATGTCAGCTTTCAAGTCAACACTTGCCAACTCTAAATGATTGTAACTGAAATAATGTCAGAAATATAGCTATGTTGTGCAAACTTGGTCTAACTCCTAAATTTTCATAATGCCAAATTATGGCTGGAATGCCATGCTTAAAATTGTTCATATATTCGGCTTATTTTGTGACATAAATATATAACATATAAATCTCATTTTCATTTCATATGTTCCTGTTAATAAAGTTCAATTTTAGTCAATTATCAAAATGGATCTACTTTTCCTTTATTTGCACCATACAGATCTCAAGAAGTTTTTCAAATCAGTTTTTAACTGAGATGTTGCACATGTCAACCAATTTCCATGCTTCTATCTTTCTGGTCTGTGTACAATTTAATATATAGTATGCAGTTGGGGAGATGTTATTTTTGGTTTAGTTTAAAAATACTCTGTTACAAGTAAAATCCGTGCATTAAAAATTACACTTAGTAAAATTTTACTATTTTACTGTTAATAGATTATTATGGATGGTGTACTGATGTGTAAGTAGCATTAAACTGTTGCATTTTGACGTGGAGCTAATTTAAACAATTTTATATATTATTGATTAGTTTTATCCATAACAATGCATCATATTATATAAGCTTATCCTTATGTTTTTTATGTTCACTCTTGATTTGAAGGTGACTAGTGAATGAACTGTCAAGTGAACGTAGTGAAGTAAAAAGTGCAATATCTCACTAAGGTTTTTCATCCGTGATGAAGTGAAGGTGCTGTCATCCAGTCTCCATGCTACTTTGCTGTAACTTGTGCGTGTTATGTTTATGATGTTTGTCACATTATGTTCACCGAACAATTTATGTGGAAAGTGTTGACTCAAGAGATGACCTGATGTATCACTGTAGCAAATCTTCAGAACTATCAGCTAGTTTAGCTACTGTGTTGAATTTAACACTGACAGTAGTTCTGCCAACATGAGTATGTGCGTGTTTTTGTGTTGAAGGTGTAAATGATATTAACTGCAGCCTCTACCCAAGCCGTGAGCTGCAGAGGGACTGGCTGATGGCCTATCTGGAGAGTTACAAGCAAAGCACAGGGCATGAGGTCACTGTTACAGAGGCAGAAGTTACGCAGCTCTACATTCAAGTCTGCAAATTCTCACTGGTAAGTGTCTGCTCCTACCGACTTTGTTGAAATGTTGAAATATGTCATTATGTAGTGCCTCAACACTTTGGAAGGACTTTGGAAAGTGACAAATCTCTCAGCAGCTATTTCCTTTTTTAAGTCCTGCTCTTGGAGCGACTCAAATATCTCAATATTATGAGATTAGTGTGTGCATTTCAACAATATCCATATGTGTGTAGACCTCTGAAATGACAGGGCGGCAACACCTCACCATCACATTGTAACAATTTACTTTTCCAGCACCCAGAAAAAAAAAAACTCCCCAAAGAAAACCAAACCTGACCCACCACTGTTCAAAGTTTGATGGACTCCATCTGAGTAGATTAGAAACTGCCGCATGGAAAAATGAAAGACAGCAGCCAAAATTATTTTTCTTATGACCACAATTTTCATTCTTTGGTGGCTCAAGTGGTGCTGGGCTATCTGTCTAAAAGTGCTTTCATAGCTCAACACAATATGCAGAATTGTCCTTCCAATTTTGGGGTGGTGTGAATGTCTCTTGAAATAGCCCAGAAGTGATGAGGAAGCATATTACTTTTTAAAATAACTTGCACCTTGGCCAAAAAATGGGGAGAAAGAAGTGAGAGAAGGGAAAAGAAATAAAGCCTGGAATGGAGTGAGAGAGGCGATAACATCATGTTGATTGAAATCAGATTTTCTATGACAAACCAAGGAGGACTCTTGACATGAGGGAAGAGGGAGAAATTGATCACTGACGCTAAACAAGCCAAGTTTCCAGCTCGACTCATTTTGACAAGCTGTGTGTCAAAGTGAGGGATACTGAGCCTGATAACTGAGAAAATCACAAGGTCTATTTTTCATAATTTCAAGGAATTGAACTGAAACTTCTTATTTTAACGCTGCCACACTTTATTAACTTTTTCATCAAAGCATTACTTGTTTTTCCTTGGAACGTGTAAAGGCCCAGAGACAAAAAAAACTACATCCAATATTTCTCTTCTGTTGTTGTGATATGAAACATTACGATGACCTAAAAACATGATTCCTCTTAGAGCTGATACCATCGGGGCAATAATTTTGAAAATCAATTAATTGTAATTTTTTGAGCAGAAATACCAAAAATGTACCCGTTCCAGCTTCTTAAATCTGAAACTTGCTTATTTTCTATGATTGTAAATTAGCCCAAGATGTTGTGATGATTTGAATTTTCACTATTTTCTAACATTATCAGATTATTTGCTAATGAAGACAATTGCTATTTGCATCCCTAAGCGGCACAGTGAAAGCTGTGTCCACACAATATTGACCATTTATTTGCACCATAGAGATGTTTAAATGGTTTTACATCACATCTGGTTGAACCAGCTAATATAGTTGATTATGTATAACTGGCTTTGGGGGAAAAATAGCAATAATTATCAATTCAGTCTGATGCCTTTTAGTGTTATTGTGATTTTTGGTATTCCTTTTTTATGAATTGGATTAAATGACATTAAATCCTTTTGTATCACTTTCATTTCACTTGGTAATTGCTTGGAATAATCAAACGACATTGAATTAATACAATAGTTAAGTCTCAGTAGATGCGAATACAGATGAATAGTAAAAACTCAGGAACCAAGGAAACCAGTCTGCACTGAAGCAAGCTGTGTGGCTCCGCTGTGTGCCATCGACAAAGGCTGGCCAGTTGCCAAAGCTCTGCGGCGTGAAACTGCCTCCTTCGAACCATAATCCCTGGCAAACTGTGCCAAGATGCAGTGGGGTCATTACGACTCGTCCTCTCCTCCACAGGGATCCCCCCGTGATGTCGAGGCTAGAGCCTGCGGCTCTGTGATGTCACTCGCCACACGTCTCTCATCTCCATTTTTCTCAATGGCTCCCTGTCACTGATGGTCTCTGCTTAGTGTTAGACTAATGATCTCTTAATGGAGAGCAGTTATTAATCATAATGGAAACACACTCAATCTCTCTCTCCAACTAAAGACAAAGATTTGAGATGAAAATCTGCCAGGGAGGGGAAAAAGCCAAGGGAAAACCGCACATTGCTCTTCAAGTATTTCATTCCACCCTTTATTTGATTATCAAATAAAAATGTGATTATATCACTGGGCCACAGAACAGAGGCCTGTCTGGATCTTATTAGGACTTGCTATTAGTGGTCCTTCCATGAAGATTTACAATAAGGGTGGAGAACAACAGAAATTTATGGAGGCATTGGAAGTCTGCAAGCCTAAGTGAGCAAAGCCATTAAGGAGGGAACCATTCAATACAGAGGTTTGTCATTCTGACTGAGCAGCGTGCAACTGGCAGGCAGCAGCAGCAGCAGTTATGGAAGCAGTTATAACAAGACAAGTGGGGGTCACTGAAGTGTGGTTTACAGTTTTGCTCTATGGCACAGTGAAATGTAGCAAAACATCAAAAAACAACAACGTTGAAAGTTGATGAAACTGGAATTAATGAATTTAGAACAATCAGCACCACATATTTTAATAGGTGTGCAAATACCACAAACTTAATCCAGATTTTTACACTTTTGAAACATATTCCAGTCCTGTCGGAGTATCATGGACTAGCTGCATCAAAATAATAGGTCTGTCACTAAATTAGATGGATCCAATTCAGTCTTTGTCAGCTAGCATTTGCCCTGTTAAAGCCTTTTGAGCAAGACACTGACATCTGACCCCACTGTGACCTCCCTGCAGGAGGGCAAGAAGAATTGTGCCTTTGAAGCTTTAAGTGGATCGTACATGTCAGGCACACATTCTTGTAGCCATTCCTTTAAAGACAACATCAAGAATTAAACTGAGCATGCAGACCATCCCAGAAATGTGGCCGATTAGTTCCTCTGTGCAAGCAGCTTGTTACGACCTATATTTACGTTTATTGTTAGGTGGTGGGAGGCAGGAGTGATCAGATGGAGGACACAGAACTTTCACCCAGGACACTACTGTTCGTGTTGTGAAACAACAAGTCAAATGTTGACTCATTTTAACTAAAGCAACATCACTTGATTTACTGATGTGACATCCGTAACTAAACTTACCCAAACCATGATCTTTTCCTAAACCTAGCAAAACTGCGACAGTTTCGTGAGCCACGTGACGTAACTTAACGTAACCATGATGATGAAGGTCAAGTATGCTGGTATACTCCAACAGTCACATGCCATTTTGAGAATCACTGCCAAACAACTTATTCTGTCGTTTAAGTATGAGAATGTGTTTGAGCATGCAAACAAATCACTGTATGTTCTTTAATGTTACTGATGTAGTTTTAAAACACCACACACACGCACGCACACACACACTGTCAAGGACTTTTTTCAAATTAATCTCGTCTCCATTTTGGCAGTGCCTGACTCACCTAACTCCGAGCTAATCCAAAAATGGGCCAAGAGGCAGAACGAATGTAGCCTGGTTGCTGTGACTAGCCACCTGTGACGGTGTTCTGTCGATTTATGCTACCTATCGAGATGTGCTACTTAGCGGTTCTGCGCATGCATAAGACCCACAAGCGTGGTTTGTTTCCACGCCCATAAATCTGTGCAACCTTACTGTTGGAAATGCCGTCGAGAAAGTGGCTGATCAACATCAAATAGAAAAAAATCATTATTAGTCTATCAGAATACGCGACCCCTGATATCTTAAATAAAGATGGCATAATATAGTATTTCAACATGATCCCCATCTCCTTACAGGACACATGAGTGAGTAGTGAGTAGATGTCATAATACTGTGAGAGTTATAACTTTATGGGATTGAAAACATAAGGTAGCATTTTTTGATAGGGCAGAGCGACTTGATAGACTGTGCGCTACGGTAGCCTTTTTTCGACAAGGCAGCATAGATCGTCAGAACAACGGCACCCAACTGTCACTTAAAGCAGCCATGTCCTTAATTATGCATAACGTTAAGCCTTAATATATTTTAAATTGGTAAGTTAAAAAAGTCACCCCCATTGCAGTTATCATGAATGGGGAAATTAGCTATAAAAACCAAAACCATGTTTTGTAGCCAGCTTTAAACATGTTTATTTCTGTTGTAAAGTTGGGCATTTTCACATGGGGGTCTATGGGAAATTTTGGAGCCAGTCTCAAGTGGCCATTCAAAGAACTGGAGTTTTTGGCTCTTCATTATTCAGCCTGGAGACTACCACATGGTGACAACCAATGGCTGGAAATGCAGAAAATATTAAAAAATAAAAAACACTACAACATGCTTTGACAACAAGTGTAGTTAGTAATACATCGTTTAAAACATGAAAACCACTGGTATGGTGCTGTTTTTTTCTTTTGTCTTCCACCAGGCATCCAACTTCTTCTGGGGTCTTTGGGCCATCCTGCAATCACAGTACTCCTCGATTGACTTTGACTTCCAAAGGTTTGTATTTCTGACAGCTTAAAGGTCCCATGAAATCGAAAGAAAAAACCTTTTCCATGTGGTTACCTCGTGTCCACAGTTGGAGATGTGTGTCTGCGTGTCACTTTGCATAAACGTTGTTCTAGTTTCCTAAAGTGCTACGTTTTTGCCATTTTGTGCATCAAATGCTGCACAAAATAGACCTGTTGCATATTGTTAATATTCAAATCTACATCCTTTTGATATTAAGCACCACCTTCACAATACAAATGATGTCTTCGCTGCAATTTCATGGGAATACCTACTCACAAATGGAATAAAAATATTCTGTGCATTGATTTCAAGGACTCACTATATTATTGCATGTTTAGACAAACAAGATCTTCATTAAGATTGCCTGACAAAGAATTTGCTGGCAGAGAAATTGTCAGAAAGGACTGGGAACTTGTGCCCAGAGTGTGGAAATATAATTTTTTTTTCCAGCAGTGCTTAAAGACTTGGTGTACCCAGAATCTGGCATAAAACAGGCAGGATAAGCACACTTCTTCTACTCTTCTTATCATTTTTAAAAGCAGACAAATGTTTTACACATGAACATCTCTGTTTTTCTTCACGTTTAAACCACAAATCATGAAAAGATGAAAGGGTCAGCTTTCACAAAGACTTTCGAAAGAAATCAAAACTAATTTCTTTTGTTTTAAAATGTATTATGATCCACATAGGGACTGGTTATCTTTAAACAAGTCCAGGAGACATTCCTCTCTACCAGCAACCAGACAATAAAGTTCAGGAGGGCGAAATGTTTCCCTTCACTCCCACTTTTTCTTCCTTTCTCCCTTCTCTGTGTGCCCCACACCCGCCACAGTTGTGATCGTGATCCTAATCACTATTGACATACGGCACCCTCCCCTCTGTGTGGCTTTCTTTGCTCGCTTGCTAGATCAGCGACAGGGCCCCTGCCTCATTTCGATCTGGACCTCGGAGGAAATGTGATCCAGAGGGGGGCCGAGGCACAGAGGCACTATTGTTCCCATACCGTCGGTCCTCCCTTACATATACGTCTCTCATCCCTGGCTGGGCCACATGCGCCTGCTAGACGTCTGTTCCTCTAAGCCGCCGGCTGAGGTTGTCCTAAAGTGCATGGTGAGGGTCGGGTTACCTTTTTTTAACTGGAGGGTTAAACTGAAGTGAGCACAGAGAGCAACAGTAACAATGGGCAACCAGGTCTAACATTTGAAGGCATCGCTACTCTGCTAACCGCTGTCCCGCAGTACACATCATTACAATATCCTTATTTCTTCTGCCAGCACTGCTTTCTGGATTCTTCATTGTTCATGCTGTAAGGAAAGAGACAATGTGGATGGCAAAGTTTGCCCTCACTTTTGTTTTCATTTATCTACACTGACGATGAGAACATAGGCTACCACAGTCACACCACGTAACCTTATGAGATGGTCCTTGACATTTGTTTAAATAGCATAAAGCAACCTACATTTACATTCAAGAGCAAAGCAGTAAGTAATGTTACTGTGACATTTTTATTTTGCTGCAAAAGTTTCTTACAAAGGAAGTTAAATTGGATGCATGAAGGCCAGGTCCCACAAGGGTTTATATACAATAGCTAACTCACACTTAGTAAGCAAGAACTTAGTAAGCCAGTTGGCTTTCCCCCCTCTTCAATAAAACTGACTGAAATTCTATACGATCCTGGCAACAAAATGCCAGGGGCATTACAGAGAAAATAGAAAGATGCTTGGGGAGCTAATATGACTGACTACCGCATTAGCATGACACATGTCAGTATGTTAGCTGTCATGCCAAAGAGAAAGTCAGTCTTTTCTAAAGAGCCCCATGAGGCTAGCTCCTTTGTAAAGTCCACGTTGTGCTAAGCGCTGAAATAATTATCTCCAACCCTGATAAAAACGCTTATGATGCATCATAAGTACATATATGTGCGTGAATTTGAGGCACTCTTAAGATTTAAAAATATGGTCACCCTATTAAAACATGTCAACATTTCTTGGAAAGAAGTAAGGAATGGCAAGAGATCAACATGGAGTCATTTGGGGTCCATGTTTCCGTTGCCTGCGATGTTCTCAAGCATATCATGCATCGTGATGCAGGGCTGTTAGTGTACAGTGAGTGAATCAAAGCCTTGTTGCTCAACAGCTGCCTGCTGCTGCTGAAAACAGGGTTGAGAGGTGGTGAGATTGAACCATACAGTAAATTTGCCATTAAATTTACTGCGGAGTTGGTTGATTGTTAGCAGTGGGTTACAGCAAGAGACCGTTTTCACATTAAACATAGTAATTTGATTTAATTTAAAATATGATGATTAATGCAGCTTTAACCATAAATTACTTGTCATGACCACAAACTTACCCTTAGCTTAACCAAGCGGTATTATTTCTCATAACATGAAAGACAACACACAGCTGCTTTATGCTTTTGTGATAACCACGTTCTTTTGAGGAAAGAGATAGGAAGTTAGAGTTAAACCCTGAATGTGTGTATGTGTGTGTGTTTCCTCTGTTATCCCTCTGAGCCAAATCTTTGCCGACTTCCCAACGAGTGACAGGCGTCGCCCAGGCCTTGTGCATTAACCAGGGCCAGATGTAAATGTGACAATAGGGAGCCACAAGGGGAATGCAAACCCGCCCTCCCTCTGCTGTCTCCCTTTGCTTATATGATTTTATTCATGTGAAAGTGTCTGCGAGTCAGCGGTTTAGATTTGTGGATGTGTTGGCAAGGTGAGTCGTTATTTGACAAAGACATTATTATAAGGAAATGAACGAGGAGGCCCACTGTTTGGAATAGCCTGACTGCAAGATTGAGGGAATTGTGCACAAAAGGACATTGTGAAATGGAATACCTGCTTTGGAGGGAGTTAATTTTCCCCTACTTCTGCTAAATAGAAGAACGTCTCAGTTTCATCTCTGTTGATGATAAATGTTAAGCACGCTAGTTTTAGGTGCCTGCCTTAATAAAAACAGGGATGAATAGGATCCCCTGTGAAGGTTGCTGTTACTTTAAATGGGTATACTCAAAAATAATCTTACTTTTATGTTTAGCTTCTTTTTTGGATAAGCTGACATTGAAGCTCTTTTCACATTTTAATTTAACTAATGTCCAATTTTCATTTTAAGAGTAGTGCTTAATTGTTTTTCACCTAGCTAGTGTGAAAATTTGGTACTCATAACTTATAAAGGGAAATCTTATGTTCTAAATGCTATGTCTCTACATTCAGGGACATCTTACCTTCTTAAGAATAAAAGCAAATAATCATCTGACTGACAAATACATATCAAATTAATAGGACTAATTTTCACAAGCTATTTTTTAACTCTGTTGAAGTTGATGGAACTATAAAAAAGACTTGTGATTGTACATTATGTTATAGGAGTGGAGTTTCCTACAAATGATCTTTAGTCAAACACAGATACACACACCCAACTGCCTAGTTGAAATTACTCACTTTAAAGTAACTCACAGAGTTAATGTTAATTGAAACCAGCTGATATGACTTGTCAACGCTGTCAGCGCCGTCATTTTAACCAGTGACAGTCTGGATAAAAATGAGAACCTAATGCTTGAATGTTTTGTAATTTGTAGAGGAGAGCAGTGTGCTGCAACACTAGCAGGCTGAGGTGGACAAAATACAGTGTACAGTAAAGAAAGGATCAGCATTTGATTGGGATAATTTTAGCCAATACCGATCCATTAAAGAATCCTCAGACTGGTCCTGATGCTGATCCTTGGGATTGGCCTGGGACATAACTTGAACTGTAAAAATGATTCTACAAATACTTTATTTTCTAGTTCTATTCTATGCTTAACAATTGACAGAAACTAATTTTGGAGGATGGAGAAATTTGAACAGCTTCCATGTCTTTTCAGATTGAAAACCAGATACAAAGATTTCAGGTTTTCCGATCAGGTTTAGGAAGGCTTTCTTCTGTTCTCTGAGTGAATGTGAGAACTGTCAATCATCCACTGTAGCACATGGTTCATTTAAATTAAGTCTGTCCAGAGAAAACACCATTTGAGTGTCACCAAACCACAATTAGAGAAGTAAAAATTGTCTGTTTGCTTTAACAGGCTCACACCAAGAATTTCTGCTACCCAAAGTTTTTTATCAACTACTTTCAATGGCAGAGGTTAGAAAAATAATGTACCACCTGTCTTTATCAACAAAATCTAAAGATGACCCAGAAGTAAAGCAAAGAAACTACAAGAAAGAAACTATTTTAAGAAAAATTGCCAAGAGCAGACAACAGAAGCCAGACTCTGACACAATAATTAGAGAGCAGTTTTACCCAGAGATACAGGTGGGGAACAGAGTGATGGAATACAAGTAACTAAAAGGCATGTGTCAGAATTATCTTTTTGTCTCACTGAGCAATAAGAGAGAGAAAACTGATTTGGCATTGACGAGTTCAGTGAAAGCACTGATTAAAGGACAAAGTCCTCTCTGTACCTCCATTTTCTGTGCTTTTGAAACTTCACTTAATTTCAAAGGGTATAGTATAATAGCCAAGGGCAACAGTGTACTCAGGCATCAGATTTATTGAAGCATTCGATAATATGGTTAGAAAAAATACAAAACCACTTTTCGCGCAGTTAAGTTCTGAAATGCACTGAGGCTTTGGCACAGCTTTCAGACTCAGTGCTTTATTGAATAGACACTTAATGCTTTATTGTTATGCAAGTTGTGCAAAGAAAAATCATAGTTCCTACCTTCAGTTATGAGCAGGGTCTGCAGTGTATGTTAACTTCCAACTGATGAATCTACATCTTTAAGATGTATGCCATTTTTGCTTTACATATTTTATATTACACCTGCCAAGGGTGAGATAGACATGTGATCCATATTATGAGACAGATTCTTATAATTACATTAAGTATGTTCTAGCTCAGTAAATGTTAGTCAAAGGCCAGATATGTCAGAGAACTTCAAGTAGTTAACATTATCTGCAACAAACATTAAATACAGACTGAATATTCAATTAAAACAATTAATAAATACATAAGTGATGTTTACTATTTAAACATTTTTCATATTTGTGAGTTGAATTGAGACACTCGCAATTTATGGGAGCACTCCCCCAATTTTACACATGAAGATCAGTTTACTGAAAAAGTGGTTGTGTAATATTGTCTGTGACTCTGTAGGAGTTTTGTCAAGTCTGAGAAATAAACCCTGATGATGTCATAGTGATGTCATCTGGGTCATCTCAGTTTGGGTTTGATAATTCAAGATTTCTTTAGGTTTCTTGACACTTTAGACAACTATTTTAATGGAAAATTTTATAAACTGGCGACGTTGTTCCAAGCAGGGTTATTCGGATAACAGATGCTTTCCAGTTGCTTTGTGGGAGTATCTCAGTTTCTGCTTCTTTGATTTTGACCATTCTTTTTTATATCTGTGGTTCACAGGTCCCTTAACTTTACAATGCTATATCATTCAAGTACTATTGCTAACTCAAAAAGACAGGTGATGCCAGTTTTTTTAAACACTAATGAAGTTTTACCTGCATTTATTACTGTATTTCTACAAAAAGGACTGAAAGTTGGCAGACCAATTTCAAACGTACTGTTAAGTCCTCAGACTCAGCTGAGCCAAGTAAAACTTGGGCATAACTCAAATTATCTTAAATCACTATTTACAGGCACATACAAGATAGTCTGAGTTGTGTGTCATACTTGCCTGAAATGGGCAATTTTATTTTATTTATGTATTGTCTATAGAATATTGTTGGGATAAGTTATTTTACAAATAAAAAATGGACATTCAGTTAGTTTAATTTGTGCTATTTTTAACATAATATACACCAAACAAATAGGCCTGTAGTTCAATGAAAGCATTTTACTTTTTTGAATAAAAAAACAATCTTTAAATGCCTTGGACAAAAAATGCATTTAAAAACAGATTTATTTATTTGGTAATTTCTTTATTTAAAACCTGGAGGAAAGAAGCCGGAGGGATGAGGAATGCCAGATAGGAAGAACATACGAAGTACAAACATTTTACAATATTTACTGAGAAATGTGTAGAAAAATCTGGTGTGTTCTCTGATAACTTTTTTGTTTTTTATTCTCCTCCCAGATATTCCATGGCACGACTCCGCTTCTACTTTGAGAAGAAAGAGGAATATTTTGGATTGACAATGAGTTAGAAACAGAAAAATAATGGACCAACAATTTTGAAATCAGAAGTAGCATTACCTGCTCTGCAAGTCCAAAAAGAGTCCTTCTTTGCCACATCCTACAATACTATGTAAATCAATTGTGGAAATTAAGGCATAGAATAAGCTTATAAATGTGCTCCCCGTTGTTTGTTTTTTGAGGCAACAGTGTGAGTTAATATGTTTTGCTATCATTGTGATTTTTAAAATATTTGTTTTACCACAGTCAGTATGCCGATAAGCCCATTTGGCAAATCGAGATGAAGATTGTGCCAGAAACACATTAATTGTTCCCACATTTAGCCGAGTCACAAAAGCCACAAAAACTGAGCCTGATCATAAAACCCATAAGAGGGTTATTTGCATGCTTATTCAGTGTTTACCACAGTTCTGATGGAAAACAAGTTTCCATTTCAACTTATGTACTGTACCAAGTATTACATTATTTAAAATCTTTCTCTTTCCCAAGGACTATTGTTGTAAAGCTGCTTACAGGACGATGACCATACAGTATATAACAAATTAAAAAAATTCATCAACAGTATTTAATTGCCAAATAGTGTGTAAGGACACATTCTGAATTGAATTTGTGGGGCAATATACAGTATAAACCATGTCACAAATTGGTCCTAATTTCATTAGGTTGTGAATTACGTAGTCAGACATTTGTCCAAACTGCAAAGCAATTTCAGCTCCCAAAAATAAGCCCAAACTCACTGTAAAAGCATCTCTGCATACTGACTAACTGAAAATGCTATTAATACACTTCTGTTTGGTTGCACCTCCAACAAACCCTTTTCACAGCGTTGAAGAAAAGCAAATAGAACAGCAGCTTATGGGTCTGTTAGATTTACTGATATTTCACTATAATCGTGCTGATTATACCTTCACTTTTAAATAAACTAACATTCTCTCTGATTATCTCATTGAAGCAAAGTGTAACTATATTCATCTGTTTGCACAATTTATTTAATTTTCATTACTTTTTATACTACAGCATACAACAATAGGTAGATAGTGTACATCACATCAACATACTACTGATGATGTGATCACATTGTCATCTGTCCCATTGATGTGTTTAAAATTCTTATCAATGCAGTATGCAGTAATAGACAATGTACAGTATATATACTGTAACAGTATAATTTAATTTTAATGTCTAGCTGAACTAACAAGAGATTTGAGATTTTTGACACATATGTTCTATCCTCTGGTTGGCCTGTCAAGGGACAGCCACTGTAAAACATCATATAGGAATTAACTGGAAGCTTTTATCATTAAACCTGGAATCGTAGGCTTACCTAAATTTAAGTACTTGAAATGATGAGTTGAATGAATGTACTGTTAAGAGTTCACTGAGCTCATTAAAAGTTTCTAAAGAAGCACCATCAGCACATTAGCAGAGTTCCAAGCATGCATTGTTTGAGAGTTAAAGCTCTCCAGAGTCTGTAGTTTGAAGAAAACATTGATGATGTAACTTGCTGTGTTTTTAATACATGTTAAAATAAGTTAAGGTTGTTTCCTTACATATTTTATGCTAACTGCGATGAAGGTTAGTGTTGATTCGACTTAATATTAGAAAACGTTTTAACTCGGCCCAGCTGATGCTACACAAGCACATACTGGGAGAGTATTTCAGTGGAGCCACTATTGAGCTGTGCTGCACACAGTGCTAACGTTACTTGTTCATGTAAAAAGGAAGTGGATTTAGGGCAAGTAGTGAAATTTGGGCAGAACAATAAAAAGAACAGCTCTCGTCAAACAGGCAATGATTCTGTTCCCTTTTTTGTACCAATGAGCCATTAAAAAGAATCTGATCGTTCATGAACATAACATCACTACTGTTGGAGGCCTTTTCCACCATAGACATTTTGACTTGTCATAGGAGTAAAAACACAGGTATACTTAATAAGATTAAGGATGTCTCTATTTCATTCAGGTTGATGTAGATATGCTAGGAATCCAGCGTGCATACCAAGCCCTAGAATGTAAATACATTTATAAAATGTACTGTAGCCATGTCAACAGTATTTTTGTTGAATAAAATGGCTGCAAAGGAAGCCATGTCTCTGAATTCCATCTACTGTCTTTGTCTAATCTGACAGGAACTCGCATGTCAAAGCTTTGTTACACTCATTTAACTATGTATAGTAGATTTATGCTATCAGCGCATTGTGTTAATGTACTATTAAAAAAAAAAATTAAATGTAAGTATTTTTTCAGAACTGAGAGCAGAAACAACACGTTTGCATGCCAAACTTCTTGTTATCCAACATCAAATGATGTTATAGTAAGAGGATGTTGTTGTTTTATGGTATTGATATTTGACTTTGGTAACAGAGAGTCCCAGGCAAATGGAGTTTCCTCCTGGGAATATTATGTCATCTTGAAGCATTGCTCATGACCTCCTCTTTTAAACCAGAGGTCAAAATATGATCTGTCATGCATTCAAGTGCTCTTTGTTTGAAAACTTTCTTCCTCTCTGTGGAAGTGTTTTCAAATTATGATTATCAAAACTCAGAATCACATTTATGCTTCAAACCTGTATAAAGTGATGATGATAAATTCTGAAGAAAACATAATTAAGACAAACAGAAATGAGCAGATTAATCAAAGTGTGTGGGGAGGGAGAAATGCAGGGGACACAAGCGTAGATGAATTACTGACACAATAACATATTGTCACACCTACTGTAGTGCACTGCTGTAACACAACCTTGTCTCCTACAAATAATGTTTATACACGACAAATATCCATTTCCCAATGCATTCTGTAGAAATGTAATGCCACCTGGATTATGTTCTTTGCTCCAGTGCAAAGTAGTGTAACCTTGTTATACTGTAGCAAAAATTTGCAGAGAGGGTTAATGGCAGAGCGTACAATGCTCAACTCTCAAATCCATCAAATCAGCGTTTACTTTTTCAATATTAAACGAAGATTACAACCTTTCTCAAATGTAACCAAATGCTTTGGTTGCCTACCCTTGTGATGTCATTACCACAGTATTTCCAGTACCTTAACCAAGTGCTTTGAGTTGCCTAAACATAATCATGAGCCCTTAATCATGCTTAAATGGCCAAGAGCAGATACTGCAGGAAAAACATGAAAAACTTTGAGAGTTAAGTTTCACATTACCTTCGTTAGAAGATGGAGTTTGCCCATTCTGAGTACTTCTCATTCAGTTTGGATTAAAAATTGAGATTTATTCTAGCAGCAGTTGACAAAACAACTGAGAATGGTGAGTTTGCATCATAATCACACATAATCATTGTGTCAGTGCATCATCGTGTTTCATTCAAAACATATTAACAATAATAATAATAATCTTTATTTGTAGAGCACTTTTCAAAAACAAGTTACAAAGTGCTTTAACAAGTGTAGAGACAATAATACCCAAAAGACAATAATACAAAAACAATAAAAGATAAAAGCATGAAAACATTACATTATGAAAACAAAACATTATTAACAATGAGCATTATCCATAGGAGAGAAACTGCTTGCCAGAAAATCAGCAAAATCAAATAATTCACATAGAAGTGTTACAAAGAGCAGAACTTCTGCACACCTGTTGATCGACAAGTGTATAGGAGAAGATCATGGGTGAACAATACATAACAAAACTCGATGAAGGTCTTGTACCAAAACGTCGTTATTCTTATGTTCTACATAGAAAATGTTTAAAAGAGAAACGGCAGGTTTTATCAATACACCAAAGCAGGTAACAAAGTCAGTCAAAAAGGTATATATTGTACATACAGTACATAATTAGATATAGCACTACAGGTTGAAAGGTTCCTTCCAGCCCGGCTGGGGCAGTCTAAACCAAATAATGTTAGCACTACAGAGATTAAAACATGAAATGCAGTTTAGCTTGTATGTTGAAATGTTGTGTTATTATGTTTACCTCCTACTTTGATGGAGATAAGTGTGAAACTTTGCCTGTGAGCATTGTTTGATCTAACATATTACCTTCTGTTTTTTTAACCCAAGGCTACTTACTTTGTCTTGTAAACAAGGTGGTAGCATGTAGTGCTTCACAAACCATTTTGAATGGTGAACAATATGTTGGTGTGTCTGAAAACAAACACATCAGACTGTGCAAAATGGATGCAACATGCTCGGAAATGTCAGAGTCCCCTCCTCTGCATTGCTGTGTCTAGTATCTTTATCTGAGGGAAGCACAAAAGGGAATGTGATTTTAAAATCAGTAAAAAGGATTAAGGTGAGTGGAAGAAGGGGAGGAATGGCAACAGTGGCGTTCTGTACATCCTCATGGTCACACACAGCTCCACTCATCAAAGCTGCAGCCGTGTCTTTGAGTAAAACAATCCAGCTTCTTTCAAAGAGCATTTTTAAAGAAACATATAATATTTAATTAGCGGACAAATGTGCTTAAAAAGACCCAAGGACTTTTCTTCAGAAAGGAAAAATTGGCCTTTTGTCCATTGCCCATCCAAAAAGTGCTGTAGAGTTTTTCTTTCACATCTAATTGCATTAAAAAAAAATAAGTATAGGCCTTTATGCAATATTTCAAAGACATTGAAAGGAGTTCCTTTAGCTGCATTTGTGTTTCAAAGGTTTTTTTTTATAATTTCCGTTTATTCAGCCATTGCATTTAGCTTTTTAGTTATTGTTGAAGGCTTCCCAAGGCTGTTGACCCTTGGAATTCTAATAGGACCCCTCGCAATTAACAATTGTCATCGATTTTTATTTGCAATGAAATGTTTTACAATACACTAGCCCATGCGCAGTATATTTTTCAAATATTATATTTATTAGCTTAATCGTTTTTTTCTTTTGGTTACACAGTATGCTTAAAGGTTCGGTGTGTAATATTTAGGACGATCTTTTAACAGAAATGCAATATAATATACATAACTATGTCTTCAGTGGTGTATAAAGACCTTACATAATGAACCATCATGTTTTTATTAACTTAGAATGAGCCATTTCTAGCTACATACACCGTGGATCCTCATACACGGACATTTATATATGGCGCCGCCATCTTTCTAAAGTATCCCAAACAGTCAAACGGCTATACAGAGCGTGTTTTTTCACAAATACGTATGAAGAACAACAACAACAACAATAAGTACTGTTGGTAGTTGTAGTCGTCTGGTTTATTAGACGTAAGAAAGAAGAGAAATTTGGACAAACGGAGGCCCAGACGTCTTATTTAGCACAGTGGTTCTCCAACCTTTTCACATTATGGACCCCAATTAGACCACAGACCCCCATTTTATAAAATTTTGTCCCAGGGTCCCCAGTTAAAAGGATTTCTGCTTTTAGATGTTTATTACAGAAAGTGTATGAAACCTATGACTGCACTAGTCTACTACTTATGGATGAAATTATAACAAAAAAGAATTATTCACCTCCTCAAGGACCCCTGGGGATCTTCGGACCCTACTTTGAGAACCACTAATTTAGCACAAGAGCTGAAAGAGCGTGTCAGCCACCTTAGCTTCTCCTGTGAGCTTGGAAAGGTAGGGGTGAGTTTTTCCTACTTAAAAACTGGCAAAAGTGTACATGCGACATCAAGAAGTATACAGATCTTTGATTTGTGCAAAATCAGCTTTTTTTATATTACATATTTTTCAAACATGTAATAAGTAATATGGTGATAATGGTTAGTTTACTATCCATGTAGAGTGTTGTTTATATGTTCTGATAATGCTAATACAACACATCTTTGTAGTAGCATCCATGTTTATTCCGCATTTCAACTTTTATTATTATTATTTTTTTTTTTAAACCTGTCCTGCCCAGCAGCCTGGTATAGAGTATGATGACCTGGATACCATATTGTGCCAGACAGCTTTTACTTTAACAAGAGAGTATTAATATACTCCTTTGTCTGTTTTATTATTTATTTATTATGTATTATGTACACCACCAACCCACCCACCCGTCAAGGGCCGAGAACTCCAGGCACAAGCCCAGAACAAACCGGAGCACAAAATTAACTATATACCTCAATATCCAGAGGGGTCCAACAACGAAGCAAAACAGGGACGCAAACTGGTCCCTACAAGCCAACGAGGAAATGCCTCCCCCGGACTCCAATGCACAAACTAAACGCCCAGCAGCCATTCAGAGACCCTGCCCAGGGAAAAAGCACAATGCATCAAGATGCATCGACAATCGCCCTACAATCCCACCGCAGCCCTCCAAACCGCAACTGGATCAACCCGCGCAGAGACCCCCACCTCCAGAAGCCAGGGCACCCCGCGACCCCCCAAAGTGCAAAGGACCCCAGACCGCATGTCCCAGGGGAAGCTGTACCCCACCCCAAGGAAGAACAGCAGAAAGCCGTGCCGGGAAGCTCCCTGCCGCCAGGGAGCGATAACGCAGGAGAACCAGGCCAACGGTCCCCCAGCCCAGCCAGAGGCATCCCTCCACAGAGTGCAGGCAGTGCCAGCAGCCCCCGAGGCCGATCTCATCCCTGGACGGGGGCCCAGCCCCCCCAGTCAAGCACCCCCAAGGAGGAGCACCAAAACCTACCCTGACAACACCGGCCATGCGCCCCAGAGACTCCCGAATGCCCCCACTGTGAGAGAGCTGGCAGGGGGAAGCCCCACCCCTGCTGAAGAGGGCCCAGGCGAGGAGAGGAGACAACGGGCCCCCAGGCCCAGGGACACACCACCCGCCCAGAAATGAGCAAAAGCCACAAGCCCGAGTCCCCAGATCCCTAGGTCAAGAAAGGGCCCCCATGCCAGGGGAGCCCCAACCCCCCCAGCCCACCCCAGATCAGGCAAGGCCGTCACCAACCCCACAGTACCCTCGATGCCCGGGGCTCCAGGGGCAGGACACGAGGCCAATGAGAATCTCCCCCACTCCTTCAACCCCTCTGCCTGCCTCTGTAAATGTATTGTTTTGTGTTGGATGCATGTCATGGATTGTGAAGCGTTGTATGGTGGAGTAAAGATAAGGTGTGTAGTAACTAAGGAGCAGTTAAAATTGGAGGGTAGTTGTGACACAGGCACCCCACAACTGTCAGGTAGTGGAGCCTCCCATCGTGCCCCTCCCAAACCCCCAAGCCATCTGTGTCTAATGTGTAATTAAAATTGAGGGGCGGCCAGTGGGGGAGGAAGAAGGGCGAGGCCGCAATAAAGCAGCCCCACCCACCAAACGCCCAGCAGCCTGCCCGCCCCCCAGAGTCCTAAGGGTGTATGTTGTGAGGCTAGAATGGTCCTCCTCACTGGGACCAGATTCCTGACTGGCCCCATCATTCATTCAGTCCCGTCCCCCATCCCCCTAAGCAGGAGGACGCCAGGTCCCTCCAGCCCAGGGCTTATAGCCCTCTAGCACCGGCAGCACCCCAGAGTCAGCGACAACCCCACCCAGCCCCCCCAGCGCGCAGACCCACCCCAGACCCAGAGGCTCCAAAGCCCCGAGCCCCAGACCCCCACACACCCCCGAGGCAGGTCAGTGCAGCCCCAACCCAAAGTCCAACAATCCCCCGTCCTCGCCAGGGCCCCTCCGGCAGCCCCACTGCCTCCCGCCACCCCCCTCCCACAAGGGAGCAGGTCTGGTGCAGCAAGGACCCCATCCAAGGACAGAATGGCCCAACGGCCTCCAGAAGACCCCCACCCCCGCGCCCTTCCCTCCCTAGCAGCGAAGCATTCCACACACACACCCTCCACATTTCAACTTAAGAGCACATGAACACACAAAGAAGTTGGGAGAACTTTTCACAACTCAGGAAATGGGACCACCCGAGGAGCATGTGAATGCACCGTGAGCCACTGGTTGCAATTCGCAACCCTCACCACTAGATGCCACTTCAACTTGAACCTTTAAATTGATGCACTGAAAACCCTACTTTAAATACATGCTTTATATTCTTGTATTGGACTTGGCTGTATTATGTGTTTATTGCTTATTAGCAAATATTAGCATGCTAACATGCTAAATCGCTATTATTGCAGTAGGCTTTTAGCTTTGCTTCCCACCAGAGAACAGATGTTTTGTATAGTATGAAACAAGTGTGTTAAATAAACACGGAGAGATATTTGACAAAAGGGACACCTCAAAATGGAACCAACCACTGCAAAAATGCTATTTCTATTTTTCACATAATAAAATTCAGGGAGCCTGGCCTTGATTGATCCCTCACCATTCAATAACTCAAAATAACTCAATTTTGATTCATGTAGCATGTCCATGATTGAACCTGCCTCATGTTAAAATGTAGTTAAAGCAACAGTTGTCTATCTAAAATACAGATTACTAGACAACGTTTTACCTGCAAAATCACACAAACAGCTCATTGTGAAACATGATCTGCTCAGTGTACGTGGGTTATTTCCCCTTTGAATTAAACGCATTTGAATGATTAAGCATCATAAGCTCTTAGCTCAAAGAGGATGATAGCGTGCTGCAGCACCGCGACCATTCTGTGCACTTTAATGAGTAGTGGAGCCTCCATGATCATAAACAGGGTGGCTTTGATGCCTTATTGAAAGGGCCTCTCCAACACGTCTGAAGGGGGCTCCTCCTTTGTAATAACAATTTATAATTCTCTTGATCTAAAGGCCTGATTGGTGAGGAGGAAAAAAAGAAAGGATTTTGTTCTATCTACTCTTCAAGATGGTTTTTAAAAATCAAAAAGTGAATTTGCCTTGGAGGGCCCATCTAAGATCAGGCTTTCATGAAGAAAGCGTGTCATTATGCCTCATCAATCCCACACATACCAAACCCACAAGAAAAGAAAGGTAAATTCAAAGCCTGTGAAATCACTGCTCAGTTTATCACTATGTCAGTTTCTTCCTCACTTGAGAAGAACAATTAGCACGGAATCTAGCACATCATTAAGCTTTACTGTTAAATATCCATTTTTCTGTTTTTCTGGTCTTGATCAGATGTTTTCAGTAACTACTACACTTTCTCACATATAGTTTTAAAGTTTCTTGGTTAATAAACCATCCAGCTGATCCTTTTGGCTGCAAATCCAGCTCATAGAAGGACAAGTCTTGTTAAATAACTAGAAGTCCAAATATGGGTCTTCTTTAAAGTTCCCCTCCAATCAAAAATTTGTTTTGTTTATTGTTACTTCCCTTGGATGTTTGACCTTGACTGTGAAGAACGATGTATGTGCAGAGGTTTTTTTACATTCATCTACTGAAGGGGAAAGTTTCTTTGTGCTCACAATCTCAGTTTAAGACGTATATGTAAAAGCAATTTTGTGACATCACAACCAGTTTGGAAGTCATCCATCTTACATGAGTGTGATGTGAAAACTTGAAGCCTAAAGTGCACAAACACTGAGAATGGACTTTGCATTGAAGTAGGAGACATCTTGTGTCCAGCAGATAATTTGCAAGTGAAATTTCAAGAAGGGAGAAGAAGTATATTTTAATAAAAACATTTTTGGGAAAAACCATATATGATATGATATTATTTAAGCAGAGTATTATTTATGTGGTAAATGCATATACATGTTTGAATCGGATCTTACCACCTACATCATTTAAATTACCACAGAAAATAGTCTCTCAGTTAGTTTTTCTGACTCGTAATTAGACGTAGCAATCCCCACCCAGCTCTCATACTCCATGTACACAAATTCAAAAAATTCTTTTTCAATTGACTTGTGTCCATTTGAATTTTTTTTCATGCTGGCTAAGAGAGTATAGTATAGTATATGAGTGCATGTATCAAGCTATGAAACTATGACTACACTGTAATAAACCTTTGTTAAGGCGCTGAAAGTTTTCATACACTCACACAGCTGACAACTTGCAAACACTTAAATGTTCATCCTGCAAAGGAAATGTAAATTATGATGACTTATTTAACAAGATTAGCATGGCAAAAGCACAAGTATGATTTCAAACTCCCCTCCCTAAAAACTACAGCACACACACACAAATGCACACAAAGGAGTGTGTGACAAACTTACCGGCGCCCCTCGCAGGGTGACGCTGCAGTTGATTTGGGAATTACAATTAGATTTATGATGTGGCTGCATATGGCTGAGCTCTCTGTTTCTCTCTCTGAAATTCTGGGATTGGCTGCAGTGAGCACCGGCGCCGTGGCGTATACACCACAGCACTGTCAGAATGTGTGGCGTTGCGTTACCTCACACACACACACACACACACACACACACACACACACACACACACACACACACAATGGAACAATAGGCTACATTTACTGTAGTGGGCCACCAAAATATAAAGACCAAGTGGAATAGCTCAACTTTGGAAACAGAAAACCTTGTGTTGGAAATTATTAGATCCCTGGAAAGTAAGCGCACTATTTAGAGTAATGGAAATAAAAATGAATGCAGTACTACCTGTAACTTGTGCTCAGTGGTTTCACATGCAGAACACAATAGGTATGAGTGCTTGTCTGCAAATGAACAGTTTTACAAAATATTCAACACAATGATGAAGTGACAGATTTGTAAGGAAAATCTCAAGTCTGTACTTTTGATTTATTTATTTATTTTTTTGATTGTCTTTCTCACCAAGTTGTACTGACACTTTTTAGAGCCAAAGCTGGCTAATAAATACAATGAAATGTTAAAACGCACAATTGAATTTCAAATACAATACTCATCACAAAATGTGTGTGACCAGCAAACTTAATGTTCTGCTTCTGTAGGTCACAACTGACAAAAGCATGAGGTTACCTTTATAAAGAGATCAGAGGTGATGTGACCCCTTTAGGCGGCACTAGAGCTGCGGCAACATAACTTGCTTCAATAAATGAAATGCTTCTAAAGAAATGGCAATTTACTTACCTAGCATGTACGGGGTTTGTAATAGAGTCCGAACATGAGACTTTTGACTGTTCTAATTTATCATGTTGAAAATCAAACAACAACTTCACATTTGTTAATACTAAAAAAACATAGAATTTATATCCAGTGCTTAGGATGTGTATGAAAAAAACAGAAAGGTCTATGCATGAGGCTTTTATCCTGTGATGCAAGCAAAAACCAATGATCAGTTCCAGCATGTGAAGCTTTTCCAAGCAAAAACCGCCATATATGGTCATGAAGAGAAATGTGGAGTCAGAAGACGTGTGAAACAGCAAACAGCTAAACAGAGCACCCAGAAATCACCCGAGGTCACAGGTGTTGAAAATGGAAACGTCTTCAAAATTGCAAAATGTGGTGAAAAGAGACAAAGGAAAAATATTATATGTCTTCAGAGAAAGAATGTGACATCTGAGTAAAATAGAGGAAAAAGCGAGCACACCCAGCATGGTGCTGACCACTGGGCCGCACCAAGAAGAAAGAGGAACATCTCGCTTCAGACTGTGGAAAAACTTGTGTGCTCTGACTGGGGTGGTTGACTGAGAAGCTGACTGAGAATTATGCACCTTTCATTTCCTCCATTCTTCTCTTAATAATTTACTTGTCTTCAAAATATACATGCAACGTAGAAAAAGGTACCCTTTTTGAAATAACAGATCTATTAAACCCATTTTTTGCAACTATATAAATTCTTTTTTTAAAACACAAGTTTGGTGTATCTTTACCACATGATGCTGAGAAGACATTTACAAATATTAACAGACTAATAAAAATAGTAACATTTTGTACACTTTGTACCGATTCAAAACGTAATTCAAAATACAGTGAAGGGATCAGGAATATTAGAAACTCTTTTCCTACAGTAGGCTTATTTTGGGGTTACTCATCCCCTTTCCTATGACGCTGAATGAACAGCGCTATAGGAACACTTTTAAGACTCATTATATCTTAAAGTGTCTAAGCAGAAATGAAGCCAAAAATGTCATGCTATACCTTTAGCCAGATTGAAAGGGACACACTCAAATGATAAATGTTGGCGTTTGGTTACACCGTACTGCACTTCCTGCACAATGTGCTAAGTGTTTGGCCTCAAGGAACTATGGGCAACGTGGTTCATGAAAGCACCAATGCAGTGGAATTGAAGCACAGACGCCTTCAATGCTGCTCTTTAACTACAGCTCAAAGCTGGAGGGGCTGCCAGAGAGCGACACAAAGTGTGTGTGTGTGTGTGTGTGTGTGTGTGTGACTGAGCGAGTGTGATGAAAACATCCTCCCTGAGCTTTTCCTGTGATTGGCCAGGAGGGGAGCCAGCAGTTACAGAGTAGGAACTCATCAGATAGAAAAAGCTGATTGTATAAGACTTTTCTGCAGCATTGGAAGTTAAGACTACAACATCCCGAATGAATGTGAATGTAGGTTTGGCACATTTGAAGTAAATCTGTACAATGCCTGGGTACTTAATTACTTACTTAATAATAATATAATAATAATAATAATAATAATAATAATAATAATAATGTGATATAAGGGATTTTTCTCCCTTTATTTCATTGACAGTCTGAAAAGTCCTACCACTCTTTTTGTATGAAAACAAACAAAACAAAAAAAAAACACATTCACAAGCTGGCACATCATACCTGAGCTGGGATATTAAAAAAAAAAAAACTGTAATGTAATGTAAGCAGTTTGTCAGAAAAAAAAGATGTAGATGCACTGTATTCATAAGAAACAAAGGTAAGACTATAAGATTACAATAGCTAGGATTTATATTAAAACTTTTCAAATTTCAAGTTCCGACAGTCCAGAGTTTGTACAGGCAGTGACCTGTCAGAAAAAGTCTATAGAACAACAAACAAAAAGGAGAAAAAACAAGAAAAAGTAAATACATAATGATAAAAACTAAATCACTCCTTAAACATTTAAGACCAAATAGCTGTTGAAGACCAATTCCTGATACTTCAAAATCCATGCAAGCTCTTTACAAACCACACAGCAATGTGTCCGTCGCTCATTTCTTCTTTCTCTCATTTTTTCTTTTCTCGTCTAACTCTGATTTGCTCCTGTTAAGATTGTCAAAGTGTAGTTCATTGTGAGTTGGATGTCTGAATGTCTATTCCGTTTTCTTGGGTCACATTTTTCCCATCAGTCCTCTTCTTCAAGTGGACATGCATCAAGATACTGTCCAAGAACTTTCTGAGCATGTTCAGTGAGTTTGAATCCTGTCTGGCCATGCTCAATGCTCAATGAAAGTTTGCCTGAAGGTCTCTGTAATAAACTGTTTTTAAAAAGTTTTTCTGAGTATAGAGTGAGTTTTTTTATTCTCTTTTTACAACTTACACCCTGAGCACGCTCAGTTGGCACTGACAGCCTCCCGTGTCTCGTGGTCACTGCTATAGTCTGACTTGGGTTCATCCTCAAAGTCCTCATACATGTCCATGTCATCGTCTCCATTGGTGGGGTCACTGGGCAGATCCAAGGCTCCAACCCCACTGCCATTGCTGCCTCCGCCGCCGCCAGGCTCAGACTTCACTCTGTACGTGCTCTGAATGACAGGGATGGTGGGTTCTGGGCTGGCTGAGTTGCTGGAGCAGTCTGAGGTCAGGTGTGGGGATGGTGTGGCTGTCGTTGCCATTGTTATGGCACCTGGGTAAACGCCTACACCACCTGGGCTGTTGCCGAGAGGAATTGGTGGCTGAGGCCTGAGAAACAACAAAGAAGAGAAGGGTCAAAAAAGTAAGATATTAAACGGAAGTTCATTAATAGACAATAACAACTCTGATATGCAACATAACATGAAATATGAATACATAAAATTTCATAGAAAAGAATAGACATTAAATCAAATCAAATTAAACTAGACTAAGAGTCAGCCATGTTAGCAGCAGCTGTGTTTTGAGCTAAATGCTCAGGTCAGCCTGCTAATAAGCTCACACTGACAATACTAACAATGCTAATGATGTTTTGCATGTTGACCATCTTAGTTTAGTGTGTTAGCATGATAACAGTTGTTAATTAAATAATAAGCACAAAGTACTTGGGGCTAATTAATTTGGGGCTACAATTCATCCTGAAGGGATGCGAATGTGTGTACATAATTTCATGGTAATCCATAGTTGTTGAGACTTTCCACGCAAACCCACAAATGTCATCCTCATAGTGGCAGTAGAGGAAAATTCAAGGGTTCATTAAAGTCTGTAGGATTCATCCTCTTTGTACCATGAATGTCTGTACAAAATTGCATGGTAATCCACATAATAGTTTTGTAAGATATTGTAGAGCATGGCTAAAAAGACTAAGAAACAGGTTGCATATTTTTTTAAACAAAATTCAACTGCTTTGAACAAAATATGAATTCTAAGGCCACTTAAGTTAAACAGCAAAGCTTGTTATCTTGCCATTCATGTCATAACATGGAGCTCTCCATGCCAGCTCACAGCAGCATTGGTTAAATAACCTGTTAAGATATAGATGGAATGAGGGTAAATACACATCACTCAAACAGGCCCTCCGGCTCCTGAAATGAGCCACATTAAGCAGGAAAATTGCTGTCACTTTTCTCACCTAACAGTTTTCCCTCCTCTGTTACCTGAAACAATTACCGCTGTGAGCTCTGACAGACTCATTTTCACATTAAACGCTGGTTGTGTACTGGCTCCCAGTAGCTATTTGGTTTAGGTTTGATTGAAAGTCCAGGCCTGGAGAATCATAAGCGTTTCTTTTTTTTTTTTGCATTTGCTTGACCACACACAGTAAATGTGGCATTCAGCCCGTGACGTCTTGCTCTCGTTCTCGTTCTCTTTCAAACATATGCTTACATTTCATATTCCACTATGTCTGTCTGTGTCCAATTTCACTGCCCGCAAGCGCCCAGCATTGTCCTAATTTAATAAATGACAAGCTATTAAAAATCGCTCCTATTCAATGCCGTGGCCTCTGGTAAATCCATTTCAAACACAAGCCACTGTGATGGCTTTAAACACATCCATGGCTGGTTCCTATTAAGACAATGCCACTGTTTTTCCCTTCGCTGCACTCTAAAAAGTATAATGCTCTTCAGTGAATGTTTAACAGGATTTGCAGATAGAACCAGGAGGTTCCAAGAAGAAATCTTTCATGAATGGTCCATAAACCCTGATGGTCACTTCACAAATCAATCAAATGGATGTAGTTAAGAATATTTCTTTTATATTCATAATGAGACACATTAAGACAAAATACTTTATATTTATATAGTGCTAAGAATCAATGCAATTTCTTGTGAGATATCTGAATGAAATGCCCCCAAACTCCTTTATGAAACATAAACAAATGCTTTAGGTGTTTACATAGTGATGCTTTATCTTTTGTCTAGCTCATTCTTTGCTAAAATACAAATGACGCTCAGCGTAAATTGAACCAGGAAGACCATCTTTATGCTTCATTCGCTCATACACTCACTCTCTTCCCGCTTCTATGGGCATTCACTCTTCAGTTAAACCATAAAGATTTTGACACAATCTCCATCAGCCACTCACTGTCAAACTTTAAATCTGCTGCTGTCAGCTGTCACTTCAGTGTGAAATCACTGTAACCCTCCTCCAACCCATTCACTTCAAGTTCATCATATCCAGGCCCAGAACGAGCTCATCAGAAGTTCAGACCTTCAGCATTTTCTTCATCCCATCACCACCAGTGTCTAGACTCCAATCAGGGGATCTATACCACTTAACGGATTCACCACCCCCTTTAAATACCATGATGTCACAATGGGGTCTAATTGTCAAAGGCTATTCACATTTTCCATATTCTCTGTGCACATGTAAATTGATTATTTGTTCACTCAGATGAAGTCTCTTCTGATTGCAATGTAATATACACATTCAAGCTATGGTGGCTAGCAGGACGAAATGTTTAATATAGATTCAATGGAACTGAAAGGTCACAGCACTAAATTAGTCAAAGTCTTCTGGAGCGAGACACAGAGTCAAGGCTTGCGTTTCAATGCACAGTGACCCCTCTTAAGAAACATTCTAAGAAACTCCTAACATTTTATTTAATGTAATGATAGAGAAAAGTATGTTGGACAAGCTATCTATGAAAATATACCTTATTATTACAAAGTGTTGTTTTAGCATAAATAATTCCATTGCAAGCTCTATGAGTGCAGTCACTGTATTGTAAACTGTCAGTTTGAGTTTGAACATAGCTACACATCTTCTTTGAGACCTTAACAACACAAAACTGGCTCCTGAACAGTACTGAGTAAAAGATGAGGATGGCAACAATGGCTGAATCTCTTCACCACCTCCACCCCTACAATTTATTGTACAAATACAATAAAAAGATATTTAAAATCACTATTACTGCCATTTGAATGTCCTAACACAGAGCTTTAGATAGAAAGCTAATTGTATTGTTCAGGGACAACTTTTCTAGTAACGCTGGTACTCACCCTACAAAGAACTGCCTCATCTCCTGACGTCGTGACCGCATCATCTGCTTGTACTCTCCAATGCGCAGCTTCTTGCCGTCGATGATGCAGGTTCTCTTGGGCCGTGGCTTGTACTTGTAGTTGGGATATTTCTCCAAATGGATCTTGCTTAAGCGGGCCTGCTCCTCATAGTATGGCTGCTTCTCCTGGTTGGTCATGGATTTCCAGCGAGAGCCTGAAGCAAATGCATGAGATTTTATTTTTGTCTATTATAAAAGTTTTTGGTTTTCTTTTACTTAGCTTTGTCATACAACAAATATGTATGTGAGAAAACATTGTAGACTTGAGGGAGTAACAAAAATGAGAATTTTAGGCAGTGACAAAAAAGGTTTTTACATGTTTTTCTAAACTGTTTCAAAAATACTGGTTGAGCACAGAGTTTGTGATCAAATAAATGTAATGAGCCCTGCATCAGTGATTAATTCATACAAAAGAGTCATATAGCGCTGTAATATATTTACAATTACCAGCATTTCTGATGGTTTCTTAAGGTTAGACGTTGTCATGTGAACAGACACCATAGAATCTTTCACCAACGAGGCTGTTTAAAATCAGGAGTGGATTACACTCTGCTCCTTCTTGGCTCAAGAAGAATGATACATTGTGTACTTCTCATTTTCCCCGGTAAAATGACCTTCTGAACAAGTGGACAGGGCCATTACCGCAGGAACGCAGCACATCTGCGAAGCACTCTGACAACTGATTATACACACTCTGTCTCGCTTCTCTGTTTATCAAGGTTTATCACAAACTAGTCTTGTACTTTTGTGACACAGGAAACAGAGAGGAGTTTTTTAAGCCTGCCACCCACTCCCTTAAGTCCAGCTGTGTTATTATGTTGGAGAGACATGCATTGTACACATGCAGTCCTAGACACATACACAGTGGAGAGTACACTTTAAATTCTGCTTTTTGTTCTTATATTGCCACAGTGGCTTGACAAATTACTGGGAAATAATTTCTGACTGCTTCCTGCCAACAGGATCATATTATTCATATTTGACTGTAAACATGGCTTTTAATGAAGTGATTTAACTAAAAAAAAAAATATCGGACTTAAATTTAGATTCTCTCAGTGAACTTTTGCACAAATGATACATCATATAAATGCAGGAAGAATTTTGTCAAACACAAAAGACCCCTTTATCATAACTCATTCAAAGCTCCAAGTCAGGAACACAGGCCCACCTAAGAAAAAGCAATTTGTTCATGTTGCTCAGGAGGAGCATTTATATTCAGCGACCCTCAAGCTCACTGGGGCCTGCAGTGGACAGTGGAGGTCTTAAGAACATTTCACGAACAACCGTTATGCTCAGTACCGTGTGAATGGCTATCTGTGTCAAGGAGGTTAGTATCAACACTGCGACTTTTCGCATCCATCACATTAGTCTGGCTGACACAGTGGAGCTCTGTGTGTGAAGTGTTTCACGTTTTTAAAACACACTAGTCCTTCTCATAGTCAGCAGCCTGCTGGTAAGAAAACCTGTGAACTGTAGAAAATAGTGGCAGGGTAACCTAATAAGTGAAGATGCTAACCTAAAAACTGTCAAATATGCTCTCTGTCTTTGAACAAGATAGTGGGAGGAGGCAACACCACTTTTGTAGCCACAAATAGTTTTTTGTTCATGAGGTGTGTGTGTGCATCATGCACAACATATAATTGTCATTATTTTTGTATTTCTTACTAATTTTCACAACAAAATACACAGAAAGACTGGCTTAAACTGATTTTCAGTCTGATTTTATGTCCCAACCCATCCAAAAGGTGATATAAAAGAAAATGATTGCTGCAGTTTATAGTAAATGAGTGGTGGCAAGAGCAGCTCAGAAAATGCTTCCAGTAAAGCTGATTATACATGGGACAACTTTTTGAGTAATGTTTCTGGGCAATGTTGCCGAGCAATATTTATCAGGCACTTTCCCACAGAGAATGCGCAACACACTTCTGTCATGGGCAAGTTTTTAGATCCTCCAAACAGAATCCTAGCAGACGATCACGTGACAGGCTTGGCGATTGAAGAAAAAAATCAAACAAGATGGCGGCATCTCAATGGCAGTGGAGCCGTCTTTTTACGCCGGTAAGTTGTCATGTGTGTGTTTGAAAACGCTGATCCCTCTTGTTTTATATAACGAGCTGCTCAAGCGGCCACAGATCGCCCCCTCATCCACCGGGATTTTTCCGGTGTTGCTGGTGGTAAGTCCAACTATGTTTTGAACGGATAGTGGCGGGCAGGGCGCGGGGGAATTACTGTAGTAATCTTTACTCCCACACTGCGCTTGTAAATCATTTTTCCAGTACGCAGGTATCTATTTTAAGGGGCATATGCGACTAAATTGGTCGCATTGTAGAGCCCAAAAAACTTCTAGCATTTTGAAAGCTGACACATACTAACCAGAGTTTTGTGCTTTACTTGTTACTTCCTTAACAAAAAGAACTGCTGAAGCCAAGATAACAGTCACAGCTTCAGTTTTCATCGCTGCAGTGTTTCCCTGGCAATAGATTTGCGCCTCTGACTGGTTGTTGCCAACTGTCCATTGCCCTAATTAGTTGCCCTGTGTCTTGGTTGCCCATTGATGGCAACATTGCTCTAAAAGTTGCTCTGTGTATCATCAGCTTAAGAGTAGGTCTAGATAAAAATAGGGGCACATGCAAATAAGCTGCTGATTTGCTGCCCACATCTTTCTAGGTAACTACAAAGAGGTAATTCATATAGATAATTGTCTGAATTTTTGTATTATTAGTATTTTGTATTTATTTATTTTTTCATTTCTCTAATATTTGACACAAACACTGATACAATATATAAAAATAAAATAAACCAAAAATAATTCACCCCAACTACATTATCAGAAGGAGATAAGCATCATTGAAATCCACCAGAAGCAGAAAAGTAATGTTAGGTTTACTATTTAACTCTCTCTGCTGCCAAAAATGAATCTATAAAATCTCACCTAGGATCTTACTGATGTTAGAGTTGTGCATGTCAGGGAAGGTTTGCAGGATCTTCCTCCGTTCGTCTTTGGCCCACACCATGAAGGCGTTCATTGGCCTCTTGATGTGGGGCTCCGTGCTGTTTCTGCCCCGCGCTTCTCTGAACACTCGTGCCTCTGTCATATTATTCCCTGTGTGATACAAAGGAATGACATTCTCTATATGTCTGTCATTGACACATTCATCTTCAACTTTCACACTTCAATTGCAGCGATAAGGATGAGCCCTTCCTGTTTGTGTCTTCACCCCTAAGGCCCCCTTGCCTTCTTGGGAGAGGATGTATAACAAACGTATAACAAATGTCTGACGGGGGTCTTGCTGGGATGCCCTCAACATGCTTACACAAACACACATGAACTATACACACCACAGTCAGTTTGCTTCCGCCTGATAGTATCTCAAAGCCTATGCTCTTGTGTTTACTCCTCTGACTCTAAACTAAACCACAATGAGCACTCCTTAACTCCTCATTGCCTATAAACAGTGGTGCCTTATGAGTAACAGGTGGGTTGGGAGAAAAAAAACACTGTAACACCAAGTCAGTGTCATTAGACTACATTCAGAAAAGGTTGTGGTTTTAGTATTTTATGCAACAGTATCTGCTAACTGCATGGAATACACAGTACATGAAGTTAATTAATTATGATTCATTAAAAATGTGAGAATTTTCATTTGCAGTAAACTTCATTGACCATTAACTACAACAGACTTGTTGCCTGTCTTTGCCTGCTTTTGTTTGCATACTTGTACTGGGTGGGATCTTGTGTCACAAACACTCTTTGTGGAAAAAAGGAGGGGAATTCATCCTCTTGTCATTTACTGGCAGAAATAATAACAGTGTAAAATTATTCACAAGCGTAAAATGTTGACATTGAACACATTGTTTATCTGTTAAGGGTGTCCTTCACCAGAGCCTTTTGAAGAGCACAATAAATATTTGTCTTTGCTGAGTACCTGCATGTTCTGGCTTTCTAGAAGATTTCCTCTTCCTTATTGTGGAGTTCTGAGATGCAAGACCCCCAGAAGTAGGGCCTCTTATATGTGAGGCCCACAGAGGTGGGCAGAAGTGTCACTGGTATCAATTTAGTCTGAACAGGATGTGACTGCTTCTAGACTCTGCTTCTCAAAACCCTAGCAACTCCTTCCTTTTATATCCTTCTAGCCTTATACGTACTATCATGTCTTTTGTGCATCTGCATATAGTTCTGAATTATTATAAATCAAAAATGGGGAGTGCAATAGTCAGAAAAGAAGGCAAAACTAAACAAATTCAACAAACCAAAAGGAGGGTGCTTGAAAATGAGAAGAAAGGGAAGAATAATAAGGCAAAAAAACAGCAAAGATCTTACCATCCAGATCTTCTGGTCTTGTCAGGTCAATGACTCGATGGACCATCTTCCCAGCATCCTCCCCGAGCTTCCCCAGGTGCTGGCTCAGCGTCTCATAGTGCAGCCGCTCCTGCAACACAAGAAAAAATATGAAGGGTTATTTGAAGCAAGCTGCAAATATGATGTAGCATGACATCATGCATGTCAAGTCATTGTTATTTATATTGCCCAATATCACAAATTGCCTCTAGGAGTTATACACACTCTGCCCTTGGACCTTCAATGCTGAAGTATGAGAAATGTGACACGAGCTGCCAAAAAATTAATGCTTTTAAGTTTTCTATTCCTATTCAACTCTTTATTATTATTATTATTTAATGTTGGATCAAGTCAATGTGTATGCCTGGCATGTTTCACTAGGGATGACTTTGATGGTAAAAACAATAAAACTAATTGCTGGCTTGAGTTGGCATAGATGATCGTCCAGCACAGCCCCCGAAACTGGGCAGTTTATTTTGATGCAGCTTCACTATGAGAGAAATGAGTCATGATGGTGGTTATATGACAAGCTAATAGAAAAGTCATAGCCCCTTCAAGGCCATGCTAATCATCAGGGTCTTCCCCAACCTCCCATCAGTCTGCCTTCTGCCTGCCACTCCACTTCTGAGACAAATAACTTCTACAAGCAGTTTGCCTTGGGTCCTTCCAGCTAAAATTACCCCACCACGCTCCCAAACTGCGGTGGAAAACATAGAACACTCCGCACAGCTACCGCACATCTCCATTCCTCCTCTCCTCCCCTCTCCACTCTTCTCCCCGGCCTTCCCTCCCTTCCACCTTCCCTCTCGACTCTCCTCCTTTTTCTGGTGACAGAGGCATTTTGTTTGACGCAAGGAATGGTTGCCGGGTGAAGTCATGCCGCGGTAGCCGCTGGCAGAGTTGGTGGAACTTAGGGGCCAGCGTGTATGTGTACGTGTGTGTGTGTGTGTGTGTGTTTATAGACGAGGAGTCTGCGCGGGCCAATGTCAGCACTACGGCAGGACTGTAATCAGGCCCACCACAGAACATGTGCCTGGGCAGTGCCATGCTCACCGCAGGAAGCAACCGCCTAACAAAGGACTAAAGAAAAGACAGAAAGAGAGAGAGACAGAGAGATAGAGAGAGCAAAAGGAAGAAGACTGGAATGGAAAATGAAAGCCTCAAGTCCACTGTAATGTTCTTTTTAAGCTTGAAGTCCTAAACAATAGCCTGGGGGAAAGCGGGCATTGCTCGTGTTGATGCTTTCAGACATCTAGAAGTCAACGTTTGGTGCTCTAACACTAAAAGTTATCGCAGATTAATTCTGCAGTTCTTAAAATGACGCTAAACATGACTGCGTTACAACATTTTGCTGAGATGCTCTGTATCATTATTAGGTGTGCTTCAGAGCATGATAGTTAGAGATGAATAAATGTTCCTGGTAAATGGGAGGAGGCTGATGGAAAACTAATGCACAGTTGAATTAGGGTTTTGGAAAATGGACTAGGACAGCATCAATAGAGGCAGACTGATCCAAAATACAGATTAACAGCAGACCTGGGTCAAAATTTGCAAATACTCCATGCGGTTGGTCTACTTTTGGTCTACTTGAAAGTGCAAATGCAATAAGGAGTTGTCTTTGCTTTGTTTAGTCAAGATTGAAATAGGTTTGGCCTGTGTGCCTGTTGGTTTGATACTGGACTGCTGCCTTTTGGAGCTGCATAACAGACGTTCTTTTTCAATTTTCATTGTGTATACTACTGTATAGTGGTCCTCTTAATGCTTTATTTGTCTTCTTATTCTTCATCACAGAGAGATTAACTTGTTAAAAACAGTCTATTTCAGAGGTTTTCAAGTCCTGATGCTCAGGCATTTACAGTGAAGAAAAAACATTTTTCAGAAAAACAAAAATCTTTATCTGACTTAATCTGAATGTTCAGTGTGTTATTTTACCCAGGTCTGAGTTTGAGCAAAAAGAGTGGCGCTTGACTTCAAAGCAGAAGAAGAGTTGACCAACAACTTAATTAATTAAACACAATAAAGGACATGTGCAGGGGAAACAATTAATTTAACCAAGTGGGTGATTTAGATTGATAAATTTCAAATTTAATTACAAAACCAGTCGGAAAGAGGAGACCAGCATACAGTTGAAAACAATGAATCCATGCAAACAAAAGTGTACTAAAGTACCACAGAAACAAATCACATCTGTGCCGACACAGTATGTTTAACACACTATTGCTTCCACTGGGTCTACAGCCCAATATTGCTGCTGAATGTATATTTCTAAATTTAAGAGGCACCCGACTCTTTTTGTTCCGCCTGGTCTCTCCTCTTCTTGGCGTTTGCGTCTCTCTACTGTTGCTAGGGTAACGCTCCAAACACTGTTTTTTTATCCACACCGTATTGAGCTCATTACCACAGTTACAACTCGCCTACCGCCAGCACGGCGTGCCTCCAGCTGACCCGCAACCGTTTACTGTCTCCTCCCGGACCAATCAAGTTTGGCAACCTCCTTAGTCCCCCTCCTGGCATTCCCTCTCTCGTCCTATTTTCTTCATCTTTCTTTCTGTCTTTCCTTCTACAGACTTTTCTGTGTGCTGATAGAGCTGTCAGTCAGCCCTGTTCTGTTTTTTTCTCCTCTCCTCATTCTGCTTTTCACCATTCCTCCTATTCATAGACCTTAACACCCCACTACCACCACCACCAGCCCTCCCCCTTGAGGCTCCAACCCCAAAGAAGTAGACACTCAACAGTCTATTTGCAGGTGCCAGACTCAGCTTTGTAGTATACATTATTATAATGTATATCATTCAGATTTCAAATCCAGCAACATTACGTCGACCTTTAATCAAGACTTGGAACCGTCTGAACTGCTGGTTTCACAGGCTCACTTCCTACAAAGACCAAATTCACCATCAAAGCCAATGTAAACTTCTATACAACCATTTCTTGCCTTCTAGACTTATTCTGCTCTACCAATAGAAATTGCAAGCATGCCGACTGAAATTATTCAACAGGGAACAGACAAAAGACATTTCTCTATAATGGGCCACATTAAATTCGAGACTCTTAAGAATTTAGAAATCTGGTCAATTTCAAAACTGTACAAAAGTTAAGAATAAATACTTACTAAAGTATGCAAAACATAGTCTGGGAGGAATGTGCATGTTCAATAAACAAAGGGTGAGGGTTATTAAATACTTTGTGTCAAACTTTGCAAGTTAAACTTTTAAGTATAAAAATGTAAGTTTTATAAATAGTGTGATAAGGACAATTTAACTTCTGTTCATTCTGACTTGATGGCAAATAGATTTTGTAATGAAGGGTAGTTGTATGAGCTTTAGTTACAACTTTCATTTATATTGTGTCCATTTGTTAAGATTAATTGCTTTCTTTTAATTTTGTGCAGTTATTTTCTAAATAGACAGAGCAAAATAAGTGTGGCTTTTTTAAATTTAAAATTCCAAAGTGTCCAAACTCTAAACCCACTTTTGTAAAGCTGCTGAGGGATCTGCTCACAGCTTTAGACGAATAAAGCAGTTTTCTGCCCCATATTTCACATGCCCTTCGGTCAACTTAACTATTAAATTGTGAGAGTATAGACACCAAAACAAATCCACATGTCCACATCATTTAGTGCTTGCAATTTAGAATCGGCTGTTGAGTGATTGTGTGCATACAAAGCATCATCTAAAGTGAGAAAACAGATCTTAGAGCGATAAAAACTGTTTTTCTTTCTTCTTATGTGGCCTGTAGATTTACCTGCACTCAGTCTGCCATCACCCACCATGTTCCCCTCCTATGGAAACAGGAAAAGTAGTCCTTTGTGGTTTGAAGCAGTGTATTATCATATTTCATGTAAACTTTACCAAGCTCTTGCGCAAAGCTGTCACACTTTTAAGATGCACAGACTTATAACTTCTACATGTTATCACTTTATATTCTAATAGGTTAGAGCTTGACTAAAAAACCTAAAAGACATGTCCCTTTTAGGGTTGATTTTGGTGTTTTCATCCGAAACATGTCAGCTGAGTAATGTGCCATTCTCTCAAAAACTTAGGGAGTGTTTTGTGGCTGTTTAGTTGAAAAACAAGTACACACAGGCTTTTACGCACACACACACACACACACGCACACAAACATACATGCACACACTCACACAGTTATACACAGTGGCTATTTCAGTGAGCTTTGGCAGCCGCAGGCCAGCTGGAAGCAACGTAAGCGTAAGGTGATACTCAACAATGCCACTAACTGGCCAGGCCTCTCGTCTGTACACCAGCTATAATGACATTAACATGGCCAAGGCCATTGCAGAGCCAGGACACACACGCACGCGCACACACACACACACACACACACACACACACACACACACACACACAAAGGAGCCCCGGATCACTTTCAGCTCTTAAGGAAATGTATATGTAGTCTATGCTTGAAATGAATGCTGTGGGACAAAAATACCCAAACAGAAAGTGAAATAAACACAAACACATGCACTCAGACGTCACTGCAATGACTCCCTCCCTGAATCGAATCAGCAACAAATAGCTCAACATCCAGTATTACACTGAGATACCATTTACAGCAGTTGTCTCTTTCCCTCCAAAGAAGCAAAATGTGCTGTGTTAGTACAATGTCATAAAACAAAAAGGCTTGGGCAGAGCTTCAAAGTTTTTAAATGGGAGGATTTGAGTAACACATTTCAACGAACAGAAAACAACACACAAATCCAAGGTAAAGAAAAAGAGCTGGACTTGTTGCCTCCCGAGGTGGAGCGGGTGAGTCACACTCTCAGTATCCAGCAAGTTCCATCCATGAATTGTTTAAGACAGAGCAAAGCCTTTGAGCGCTTTAGAAAAAAAAATACACATGAAAAAAGTCTCCGTCCCAAAGAAAAAATTATGTATTTAAAGCTAAGAGAAAGAGTCTTTCAGCTGCTGTTGTTAGGTAACGAATAACAAGCTGACAACAAACATCAAGACCTGCTGTCGTCCTCGAACCGGAAACAATTACTTTGAGACTTTCCAAATGAGCTTTTTATTAGGAGGCATGGAGCTATAAACCAAATTACTGCATTGCTTTGGTTTTGTTCTTATAAAGTTGGAAAATATAGAGCTTAAGAGGCATGTAGGACTCTCCCTGCAATACACTCACCTTAATCTGTGATTTAACTTTGTGCAAAAAGCTCTTTTAAGCACAAACTTTTCCCCGGACCTGCAGCAGACAACTCACATTAAGTCTTAATAAACAATTTATTAGTATACGCTGTTGTATAATTTATGTTTATGAGTTTCTCAGTGTTTACTAGCATAATGACTTATAATAAAATCAACTTGGGAATGAGGATATGTACAGCAGAGATATATTTTGCCAGATTTTGGATGTTTTCCTCCTGAAGATGCGAGGCAAACAAGTCCAAAAAATTCAAAACAGCCTATCCTTGGAGTGCACCAATCATGACCTACTTGGGGTTGGTGGGTTCAAAGTCTCCACCCCTAAAATATTCATGAGTTCCTCTGCTCCTCCGTCTCCTCATCCTTGCAAGCAACATGGGATCAATTGCGCAGGAGATCTGGTCTAATCATGTTCCCTATTTTCCTGAATGTCTGATCCCTGAAATCTGTGATTGGCTGATCAGACTGATTGAAGATGTTTTGGAATATGGATTTCCCTCTGGATATGAGATCCTGGTACAAAGGGCCTGTCTTCCTCAGCCCAAGAGGGAGAGATGAGCGGGGGAAGAGGTGAGCATGGAGGGGGGAGGTCCCTTCCCAGAGAAGGGCCCTTTAATTGGGCTAAAACCCAGAGGCCGGGATCCCCCCTCCAGGGCAAGTGAGAGCTGGACTCCATTATACACACAACGGACACACACACTAATGTTAACACCATCTCTTCTCCAAAAAAACACCCACTCAGTCTCAGTCAAAGCATGCACGCACACACACACACACACACACACACGCCAAAACCATCACTTGTCATTGGCCCAGCTGCACCCTCTTCAAAGCTGTTGGCTTCTGGGTGGCCGTGGAGATGAGAGAAGAAAAGAGAAGTCCTCAAGAGCTGCAGCCCGAGCCAAACAACACCAAATATCATCCATGAATATTCTTCAGACTCATGCACGAGCTGAGCAGAAACCTTGAACACTCGGCAAATGAAATACTGGAGAAAATATATAAATATAACACAGGAGCAAGGAGTTTGGAGATCTGTGTGCCTCTGTGTGTGTGTGTGTGTGTGTGTGCAAAGGAGTAAAAAATCATAAAAATAAGAATCATTTATTATGAGCAACATACATACATGAGGACATAAGTATCATACGTTAATACACTTATAAAGTAAAATGTCCCCTTTTATAGTATTAAATTACTGAAGTAGTAAACATGTAAAGAGCATCTTATAATTTTACCTGGTCCAGGTGGAGCTACTTTGAGCTTCTTTAATACAGTGTTGAGTGCTTTAATCCTTAATATGCATGCTATTTTAAAAGCTGATGTGTATGTTTTGCATGTGAAATCCTAATCCTGAAAGTAAACAGTCCAGAATTATGTCTTCACATGAAAGGAAATGCCTTTGAAAACTGCATCTAGACCATGTTATTGTTGAAAACCTTATCAGTAACGCATGTCTGTGCATCTTCTTCTTATCTTCGTATCACTTGTAAATGGACTGATTTTCTTTTTGATAGCATCAACGACCACAACTGTGAAACTTCTGCCTGACCACACGTGATCTGTCTGTCACTCTAACCTTGTTGCCGTTGTTGAGGGTCATGCTGCTGAGGGCAGACAGTTTGGCCTCCAGACTCTGGTGTCCAGGCTGCTGCTGCTGATGGTGGTGGAGCTGCTCCCTCTGTATCTGCTCCCTCATGCTCCTGGCCTCTTGGATGGCTTTCATAACTGCATCCTGGTCCCCAAACAGCGCCGTAGAGTTAAGGCTGGATAGGATGTCTTTATAGGAGAGAGGGACAATTGTCTGTCACTTTGACTGGCATGACAGGAAAGGAAGGCAAAGAGTGTATGCCTTCAATAAGGAAGGCCAGGGTTCATCTCAGTCTTCCTCTAAAGATGATTGTAATTTATCTTTTCATCAGCTTCAAGTATTAATGACTAAATAGGAAAAAAAAATAAGTTTAAGTAAAAAAAAAAATCTTAGTTCTCAAAAACAACCCTGCAACTGTTTGAATACAAATGTTGTTATGATTAGCATACACATGTATGTGACATCACTTCAAACTACTGAGAAGAGGACAGAGAACAGACACAAATAAAGAAATCTATCCATCCATCCATCGTCAACCGTCAAACGTGCAGGGTCGCAGGGGGGCTGAAGCCAATCCCAGCTGACATCGGGTGCAAGGCAGGGTACACCCTGGACAGGTCGCCAGTCCATCGCAGGGCCAAATAAAGAAATCTCTTATGTAAAATAAGAAAATTGGTGCCAACTTTGGCAGGGAATATGTTAATGTCGGACCATATCACTCATACTAAAGCTGAGAATATAGGTTATCCGGGGCTTTTAGGCATAAATCCCTTAACTTAACCAAGTAGTTTTTAAGGTATACAGACTTACTGAAATAAAAATGTTATGTTATCGTCTGAATCCATATGCAGTCTTTACAAAACAAATACCAGAAAATGTTCCTTGTGACCTGTCACAAAACTTCTGTATGGTACCATTGTAAAATAGCAACAACATTTGAAATTTTAACTATGCTTTTATGCTCCAAGTATGCAGTTTTTCATCTGCATGGCAACTGGTTTCTAACTTTTGATGTGCAAATATTCGTTATTTGTTGGTTTTGACAAACCAGAGAGTTTGAGTCACATGCTGTTGAACCACAACTTTACCTGAAGAACCCAGTTTGGAGCATGTATGTGATTTCATGTTCCTTCATAAACACTACCGAGCACTGAAAACAAAGTGCAAGGACTGAAAACCAATAATTACGAAAGGCTGCATACAAATTCCTCTGAAATACTATTTAAACATCTATATAAAAAAATGTTTTTTTTTTTCAAATCTCTTATTGGGGCCACACGTTGCGAAAGTTGTTTTCCAATCCACTTGTGTTTAAACATGACAGACCCTCCCCCTTGTTTATGTGCCGTGCTTCACACTTTTGAAGCCAATGCACATTTGAAGAATAAGGGAAAAAAATAAATAAAAGGATGCTAAGTTTCCGTCGCCCTCCTCGTTTAATTAGCAGACAAGTAGGAAGCACTGTATGCTTGGGTGGCCGTTAAAATGGGCAAAAAATAACTTTGCAGGGAACACAAGCATTGCGTCCTCAAAGCCACTCCAGAGGAACTGGCGAAATTGTTTTCTGGGGGGATATAATGAGAGGGTTTAGATTGGCCTTAATAACAGATAGCAGAGGTAGGGGCATAAAAGGTCTAGCGCGGGCAGACAATGATGTGAGGAAGCTCTTAAAAACCAAATAACGTGTGCTGGGTTTCACTGTTTCCGCTGCCGGGGTTTTCATTGGGGCTAAATACAGGGCTTTGGACTCCTGTAAAACACAAACACACATGCAAATACACACACACAGGTCTTCTCGTGGGGTTGAGGTGTCTGCAGTCTATCAGGCACATGCGACGCTGCTTGGTTTGTCTGTGTGTGGTGGGGAGAAGGGAGGTGTTTGGGTGGGTGATGTTTTTGTTTTTCCAGTTGACGGGAAGGCACAGTTTTACACTGGAGAGAGAATGTGTTTGCTCTGTATGGTTATACAGTACAGATGTGAACAATACCATGGTGTGTGAAAGTGTATGAGTGTTTGTTTGTGGGAGAGAGCATGTATGTGTAGAGTGTTAGTGTTTCCCCTTAGAATTTCTTGGCATGGTGAAGCAGCATTTAGAGCATGTGATTCTGATTGAACATGTCAGTAAAGCCAGTGCTAATGTACTTCTTTTAGGCAGAGTAACAGTGCCGCTAGGCTAGGTGGCCCATAAAGTCTACCAAGTGGTAAAGGCAACACTGGTGTTAAAGTGCATACGTGTTTGTTACCTACCCAGAGAGGTGTTTCTGCCCATGTTGGCGATGGGGCTTGGGATGCGGCCCTTGCCCATGCCTGTAGGGCTGGTCTTGTTTCCAGAGAACAGACTCTGTGTTGGGGACGTCGGAGAGCGAAGAGGGTCACTTGTCTTGGGTCTGGCTGAGAGGTTCAATGGCTGTGTGGATCCTTCCTCCTGTTAATATAATCAACGGAACAAGTTTTTTTTAAAAAGATTTTTGGAGGTGGGGTTTGTGTAGTGACAGCTGCAGTGATAGACAGCAAAGGTGGGAGAGAGAGGGGATGAAATGCAGCAAAGGGCCCCGGGTGGTAATGAACCCAATCCACTAAGGACTCAGCCTTAATGGTGTGCTCTCTCCCAGAGGAGCTACCGGGGTGTCGTGATTTTAGTTAAAATTTTGTTTTTTTCCTACTGGGGTAATCATCCAAGGATCTCTTGAATTCATTTTGTCACCCCTTGTGAGGGTCAGAGCACCCAGGTTAAGAACCACAGGCTTAAAGCAAATTTGGTTGTCAAAAGATATCTTTTGTCAAGCAAACACCACCTTCATCTATTGTCTTAAGGATGGTTATAAAATAAGTTGCCTCATTAGCCCACACCACATTCAGTGTGTTAAAATTTAGTTTTGAAGGATTCCAATAGCGACATGTTTTCTAGACAGAAACCTACAATGTCTATCTATAGGCACAGTATCTTCCAAGCAATGGTTAGTTTGCCAATATGATTATTGTTAAATACACTACTTCCAGAGACGCTTTGGATAGTGTGACACAGACACTATATAAAAAGCAATATTTTGGAGAAACTAAAGAAAATGTTTCTGCTGTGAAAATGGGTCACCTTTGGAAGGGCAATTGACTGAATAGAAGCTAACCACAGCTTCTGATTTTCAATTTTGTCCAAAGTATCCCTTTAAGTGCTTAAGTGATGCTCCCACTGACTGATGATCAGTCATCCCTATCAAGTTTTTGCTCTTCAATAAATGAATTCCATTGCTAACCTTTGTGAACCTGACAGGGGGAAAAAAGTTGCAGTGTACCTTCTTCTCTAAACAATGGCACCTTTGTTTGTGTGATTTATCTATTTCTAATCAAAGTTCACAATCCCTGCAAAAGGAAAAGTGGTGACAAGAAGAAAACTCCTGCACGTCAACACAGCCTGACTGATTCTTGTGTTAGTAGCAACGTTTAATAAACACGGATCTAATTTGCAGCTGAGCTTCAGTTGAGCGAAGTGTTGTGAAGGAAAAGAGTTTAGAGGGGGGAGATGCGGGTGGCATGCCAAAGTGCGGGGTGGGCTGACAATGTGCGGGGGTTAGCGGAGGGTGGGGAGTTTGGAGGGCACAGCACTACTGTTTGAGTGTGGTGAGCTCTGACGCCGGTCTATTGTGACGCCGGTTGCAGCTGTGCCCCACACACACATATGGCTTCCATTACTGCCTCGTCGTCGAGTAACGATGAGGCATACGCTCTCTCCAGTGAAGGGGTCTGGGCTCCTGCCAAACAGCAGCCAGTGCCAGTGTCAGTTTGTAAGCGTGTTTGTGTGTTTGTGTGTGTGTGTGTGTATCGGTGTGTGACTTTTAAATAAGCTTTTCTAATTGCCATTGAAGAGTCCTGGACCATGCACAGATAGTTGTTTCAACAACTTCCAAATTTCCAGCCTCTCACTTTTACTTGCACTGATCATCATCATTACTATTCTTGTGTGTTTTCCTATCATACATATTCTGAAGTCACTCTTTCCTTTGTCTTATTATGTTGTCTGTTACTTTGTTACTTTAGACATCATAGAGACGCTGTTTTATTCCAATACATGTCCCTTATACATTCCTCTTATTTACAATTTCTTCAATATAGTCAATTTTCTCCATGGTACTGTTGTCTTCACATACTGCTTGTATGTACATCAAGCCATCTCCTGAATTGCAACATCATCAATCACAAATGTGTCCACCTGGCTCTTGAAAAATCCTATTGAATCATTTAAACAAATTTTTCACGTAAACCATTTTACAACAATCGCAACAATGGACTCACCTTGATCTGAGTGACAGGACTGGATGCTCGCTTCTCAGTCTTCACGGCGGAGGGGGAAAGGGGACCGGAGGAGTTCGAAACCTGTGGGTGGGGCGTCATCTTTGCTCCTGGTGAGATCTGCATGCTTGCCAGCTGGGCAGCATACAGCTGCTGCAAAAAAGGAAGAAACCAGCAAAACCGACAGGCTATTAACATCGCTCGCCAGCAGCTAGTCAGTGGCTTTCCTCTTTCATTCTCTCTCATCTCTTCTTGTGCCCCCCCTCCCCCGATCCTGTTGCGAGTTATTTTGCTGTATCCTCTCTTTGGTGCTGCTCGCATCTTCTGAGGTTTGATGGGTGTGTGTCTGAGTGTGCCAAGCACACAGAGAACTCATATGGAAACAAATGTGCGTGTACACACACACCTAGTTGTAAAGTTGACATGAGTGTCCCACACAAATGGAAGATTTGTTTGAGAGGGTAAGTATTTATCGGGGAGGGATTCCAGAAAAACGTTTTTATTTTAAATTATCTACAATCCATCTCAAACACTTATTCTTTTAACAGATGCTGGGAGCAGCTTGTATATCGATTTGCATCTAGAAATAAACTCAGACAATAGCTAAAGAAACTTTTTGAATACTTTACCTGAATCCTCCTTAACTTTAATTTTGATTATCTACAAAATTTATGTCACTTGGTTCTGCGAAAATATGAGAATGTAAGTTAGGAATGGAAATTAGCTTTTTAGACAATGCTTGGCTCAGTGTTGGTAACAATATAAGGCTGGTTTCCTTTATTTTTCAAAAAACAATGTGAACCACAATGGAAATAAGCCACATGGCTGTTTTTATCATCCTGACTATTTAACCTTTTTTTCTTTGCTTTCACAGCAGAGCTGTAACTTTAAATAAATAGTCAAATAAAATCTAATCAAATTAGGATTAAAAAACAATACTTGAGACTAATTTTGTCACACATGGTTATTCCTTCAGACAATTGAGGTTCTTCACTTACTTTAATCCCAAAGACAATAGTGGACAATCATGTTTAAGTAAGTGTAGTCATACATATTACACCAGCATCAGTCCATTGAAAAACACTTGAAAATAGTGTAAAAAATAATAGAAAACATAAAAAAAGACTTGGAAAGTATAAGACATCTGCCTTCAGGTCTGGATAAAAACATTTAATGTAGCAAAAAAAAAATTACAGATTTTCCATCCAACAAAAATCAAAGAGTCAAATACTCGGCCCACAGTCCAGGGTCTTCTAAATCAAAGCTAGCTGGCCAGACAAACCGCTGCCTGTAACCACTGTCAACCCCTGTCTAAATGCATTGGAGTGCGAGTGCTGGAGTATCAAAGAGCCTGTCCTCAGGAAAACCACCCAGACGTGGCTGGCCTTCACTACAACTCCCTCCTCTCTGTCTTTCTTTTCTGTTTTCCTGCTTTCCTCTCATTTTTCATTACTCTCACCTCATCTATATTCTCCCCCTTCTTCTATGTTTCTGTCTTTCTTTTGTCCTCCTCCTTTTGATCTCCATCTTACTCTCGCCCTCTCTCTGTTTTGTTCCAAAATCACTCTTTATATCTTCCCCCCCATCTCCATCTCTGTTTTTTTCTCTCTGTTTTTGCACTCTGCCCCCTCAGCCTAAACGGCCCCCAGTGTTGTGAGATCTGATTTCCCTGTAGTCAAAACTGCAAAGCCTCCTGGGACCAGAGATCCAAAAGTAAAGAGTTTGCAATAGAAAAAGAGAGAGAGAGGGATAGAGAGTGTTTCGCTGCAGACACACGAGACCACCGTCGCTTCACCGACGAAGCACCAGATTCAGTGGTTGGGGCCAGAGAAATTGGCTGGCCGTCTTTCCACTTCTCTCGGAGCGATATTAAACACAAACAGAAGGGGCCTCACCGTTGAAACAAAGCCCTGATGTCACGCCGCTTATTTTCCTTGGAAGCCACCAGGAGTGCTCGGGCCAACCCTTGGCGATATGAGATCCCAGTAAGAATGTGCCTTGAATGGCTGGTGGTGAGGCCTCTTGTGTCAATCAAGCCGACCGCAGAGTTACTTCTGGTGATGCCTGATATTCTTACAGCTCTAAGGGGAGCGGGGCTGGGGCAGACACACGAGTCTTTGAGGTAAAACACACAGTTAGGATCTCACACCCCTGCCTGCACAAATGCACACACACAGGGTATGGTGTGCAAACACACCCAATGCTATTGAGCTGTTAGCAGCAATTCTGTCAGCAATTCCAAATAAGAAGAGGGAACTGTTGAACAAACAAAAGACTGAGAATAAGAGCTTTCTTTCTGTTTCTTAAAGACTCTCTGTGATTGATTGGTGACTGGGGAGGCCAATGTGCAGCGTAAACAACCCCAACTAGAGCTCTCTCAACCCCCAAGGGAAGACAATGCCGCAATTTCCTAAATTACAAATTGACAAAGAGGGCCTCGAACCACGCCACAGCAGTCCAGACTATCTGACTGGCCTTAATTTAGTCTGCTAATTTGACTATAATCCAAATGATTTGTCTGTCATTTTTGATCCTCCTAATCATCAAGATTTTTATTAGCCTTGGCCAAATTTGGCATAATCCTTAAGAAAGCAGAGGAAAGGTGATAGTCTGGATAGCAATGTCTGGACTGTAGCCTGCCAACAACCTCCTACTTGCACAGACTGGTCTGTCCCATTAGGACTGAGTGGAGAATCCCTTTAGCTGGCCTCTCTTAGTGTCGAGCAGCTATTGATCTCAGGAGTACACAAAACAAATGAGGTTTTGTCTTTTTCAGCAGGTTTCCAGGGGATGGAGGAGGAGGAAGAGGGTGAAATGGATCAACTGCCACTGAGCTTGCCCACACAGAGGACAGAGTTTAAAATATTGCACTGGGAGGGTTTGCTATGTCCAAGACAGTGAAAGAGATACGCAGAGAGGCAGGCTACACAAAGACAACCATTATGTCACTTCCAGTTCTCTTTTATGGAACAGATGCTTCATTTTTTCACTCAAGACAAACCAAATCTGATTGCCTTCTAATCATTGTCCTCATTTTATTACAAAGAAAGCCATTCTAGCCTAATCACTGTATGTTGGCAGTGGGGCAGAAATCATGACTCTGGGGCACAGAAGTTTGTTCCTCATCATCGTCTCCATGCCTCAGACACAGAAACAGAAATAGAGCATAGAGACAGACACAGGGAGATGTCTTATGATTTCAACAAGAATGTCTGCTAAGCAACTGTATTTCACTCCCATTAGCCACGACAATGAGGCCTTTCTTCAGCAGGAATCCACTGTTTGTGAAGGGGTCTACTCCGAGGCTCTGGAAACAATTGGCCTGATCAAGTTCCCACGCCGATTGCACGGCATTTGTGCTATCAAAATTGTTAGGTCACGTCATGATGGGTCAAGCACAACCGGGCAGCTTTTGCCAAATATTTCTGTTATCTTACTTTTGATTTGACAGGTTTCTTCAACTGATTGAGGCATAAAACAAATATCTATTATTGCTGTTACTTTCCAAACCTTTACTTTCTTCACTGATTTGGAGATACAGTAACCTATTGTAGCTTGTGCAGGTTTATTTTCACTGCCTGAGAATATGCCCTTTCTCCATGCTAGCTTATGCCTGCTTGACCATCAGTGCCAGCCAGCTGTCAGAAGGCGTGCTATGGGGCAGAACTATGAAGAATCTGGAGGGGTCAGGCTGCAACATCTGTCTATCCTGTACAGAGCACAGATCTGGCATTAAAAGGGTTTGATGCCAGCTGGTGTGTACTTGACTACAGTATGTAGCAGAGGAATTGCTAATGTAGAACTAACATGGTGTAATTGTGTATTTACAATGATTTTTTATAGGCTAATGCACAGTTTCACACACTGGAGTTAAAGCCATTGTGAAGTTAAACGTAGCTACAATAACACTAAAAACACTTTATCATTAAAGATACTATAATATTTTAAACAAGCAACAAAGGAAAAACACATTCTATTGATCACAAATAATGATTAGTGACTCATTAATGCATGCAACTACATAAATTAAATTGACCTCACTCTATAATGCACATTCTGTATTGTATACTAAAAGTGCTTGTCTGAAACATTTTTATTTTATTTTTAATGAGCAACAGTGCATTTGGTCTCAGTTCACCAATATGACAAGCAACAAACAGCACAGAGTCAAAGGGTCAAAGATGGAGACAAAGGCCAGAGACAGTTTTCATGCATGATAAGTGATGAGTTAAGACACAAGAAATTGGAAGAAGTGTGTTAGCAAGGCTCTGGGTAAAAAACATCCACTCACAATGATTGTGAGAAAACAGATTTTCAATGCTGTCGTTGTCCCTCACCTCCCAAAGGCAGAGCCCATAAAGAAAGCAGAGCCAGAGCTGAGAAAGAGAGAGAGAGCCACTCTGGCACTACAGCGTAACCACAATGGCTACATGCAGGCCAAAGGGCTTAAGATAGTGCAGGATGTAGAGAAATAAAATGTTTCTGTTCTACTCATCAGTTTTGTTAAATCTCTTTTATCAGAACCACGTTAGTTCAGGGTTTCCAGCAGACGTTTCTAACAGAGGTGGACCGCCTAACCTGAAATAAAGACCTCCACTACTATCAGAAGAAACAGTTACACTTAATTTAATTTAAACAAGCAGAGGTGTTACATCACGCAGATGGTTGTAATGACATGTTTAGACAATGTTTGCTGTATGGTAATCAAATCAAATCAATAGTCTGCAATGTTGGGAAAAACAGAAATGCTTTTTTGGTTGTTTATTTTTTCAGGTTGGGAAAAATAAAACCAAATGGCTTAAGTACTAACTAATTTCCTGGGGAAAACCCTGGAAAAGACACTACAACAAGATGCAACCTATATAGTACGTGATACATGTATATACAGAACACGGAAAGGTTGAAGGTGATGTGTTGATTCACTTCAAGAAGCTCAACCATGTTAACTTCACAAAGCAAGCATTTATTGCTAGGCTGTTTGACTGGATAGCAGTACACTTTGCAGGTGTTTTAATTGTGTCAATCCCATCTACATTCTGTTGTAATAATTTTTTGCAATGGTGCAAGTGCTACTGTACCATAGCACAAACAGTGCTTCTGGCAAATTTTTCAGATGAAGATACATAACTAAACAAGTACTACTCAAAAATTGTATCATGATTGCTTTTGGCATAGACATTATTGTCAAAACAATGCCCAAACATGTGCTGGAAGCCAGTGCCTCAATCTCACAAAAATTCCTCAGATAATCACTCTTTTTTTCTCTGATAAACACTTCCCCACGCTCTCTGTCTTCCTCCTTCCTCAGTCTCCTACTCGATTTCAGCCAACGCTGTGATGAGAAGCTTCCTCTTTCATTCAGGTTTCTCTCTGCCTCTCATTCTCAACATTTCAGTGTTTAAATGTGAATGAGGTTGCATCTCCGACATCATTCATCCTCTTACCTCTCTCTCTTGTGAGAGGTAAGAGACTCTTTTGATCATTTCAAAGACAGGGGTGGGGATAGGCTGCGCCGAGGCTCCGATCCCCTCAGCGCAGCACGGCGCTTTGCTAAGTCAATAGCAGCTAATGAGGGCTTCGATAAGTGAAAACCACAATTCAAACTGAATAAACTGAGATAAGGATTCTTGTAAGAGCCCAAAACCATGCTATGGTAATAACTGGCATGATGAAGCAATATTGTTTGCCAGTGAAAAAGCTTTTGAGGGCTTTTGTTCTTTCCGTTGAAAGTAGGTACAGCAGGCTGGGTGACAGGGTCGTGTTGTGAAATTCCAAACCGCCTTTAGGGAGTAGTGATTTCATTTTTCTTTTTTTGTCTTTGTTACACGTTTTTTTTTTTGCAAATATGTTCTATGATAACCATTATGTATAAGTGCTATTCTCAAACCACAGGTGTCAAGAAGCAATAAAATATTTGATGAATTGCCTGGGCCAGGTGTTGTGCTGGTGGGCCGGAATTCCTCTGTGATTCTTCATAACAGCTTTTGTCAGACACAGCTGACAGTCAGCAGACAAACGGACTAGTATGTTAGCATCGGCCTATAGAACTTAATTTTTTACAAAATGCATCGTGCTGTTTTACTGAAAAAAGTCAGCTCCATTCAAATGAGCCTGTTATCTGAGCCAATCAATGCCTGCTGGGCCTCCTCCAGCTTCCATTTATATTTCCCACTCCTTTTAATGTCATTTTGCTCTTATGGACGTGTATTTGTGAACACTGTAACATAGAGCAGCAGAGTGGCAACTTTGTATTTTGGATAAGCATCTGCACTTTCCAGAGATCCCCTGTCAGTCACACAGTGTGGCATTCCTTTCTTTGATTTCCTGTTGTTGAAGTTAGGCCTTCTGTCAGTGGCACTAGCTTTTTGAACTGTCATGATGGCTATTACTTCCTCATGCAAAACAGCTAGTTCCTATTTTTACTGCAACTGTTGCAGGTGGTTTTTCCCTGGTAAAATCTACCAGACACTCAGCATGTTTCATTATAGCCTCTAGATCTCATAGGAAAATTCTACATATTTTCATACACCACTTATAGCATTGTCTTGTTTGATTCAACGATGGATAGGGGGCATTAAAAGTGTTGTAATTTATGAAAAAGTTGCAGAGTTTTTTTGCTCATGTAGGAGTTTTCATTTAGTTTGCCAATGTTCCTTATCTTGACTGTCCTCTATTTATCACTGTACAATTGTCTTGGGTTGTGGCCTGCTGGTTACACCCTCAGGATTAGATCCATGTGTACTTTCTCAGTGTACAAACCCTCTCCCTTATAGATGTGTCTGTGTTGCTGCTGCTGTTCTGAAACTTTGTTCCTGCTGCAGTTGTTTATTTAGTTGTGAAACACTCAAGTTATCATCATAGATATTGAAGAGGCACTTCTTTAGTTTGTTTTGTTGGCCTTTAGTCTGACAGTCTCCAACTCAAAAGTTATGGAACGATAGGATTGTTAAGTTGGACACATTTCTTTTAGTTTAGGTTTAGCAAGTTAAAAAAAAAAGTTTAAGTTAGGAGTCATGCCTTAAACAACAAAAGTAGGTTTTAGTCATGGCTGAATGTGAAAACGTTTTGCCAAAGAAATAAAATTCATATATTTCAAGAGTTGAGAACTGAATCCAGGTGAAACTGAAGCATATCTCACATACAAATAGACACATGCCCACCAAGCTCCACACCCCAGCTTTTCACCAGTTCATTGTCAGACAGTCTGTTCCTGTTTGTCTCCACCATATGATCCTTTTGTTGTAGGAAAACATTACTAAAACTTTTTTTGCAATTTAATTTTAAAGGTTGGTTCACCCCAATTACAAAAAGAAAACAATTTGACTTAGTGCTAGCCATGACGATAGTTTTGGTTGATTTTGATAAAGCTACAGGAGACCAGGTGTTTTCGTCTTACCTGTAGTTGTAATGGGCTGAGTCCAGACGCTGCTGCAGCTGCCATTGCAGATGGAATGAACTGCATGGGGTAATTCTCACCTGTTGAAAGACCAGAACAACACATATTGTATAGAGAGGTGGGAGGAGGCCGATTACAGCACAAGAACTAACCTGCTATTTACCTTCAGCCAGGCTCTGTCTCTTTCTCTCTGTCTCAGCCTTTGTGTCCTTCCTTGTACCTCTCTTGCTCTCATGTTTTCATTCATGGCAAATGAAACACGAAGGGTCACGAGTGTTTTATGCAAAGGTTAATAACACTCATTGTCAGTACACACGGGTGCTTGAGACTAGGGCGAGTAGAGTTCAAGTCCAGCACTCCCTCTTTGAGATGCACTCATAAATTCATATACGAGTACCATAGTATATAACCCCTACTGTTTGTTCCTAAAAGGCTTTCCATGTCCGAGGCTTTGTTGAAAACAGACCAAAGTCAGTGTAGAATAATGGATTTTTAATCCCTTTCTTCATTTATGCCTCTCTTTGCAGCCTTGTGGGAGTGTGTGCTCATGCAGTAGGAATAAACACGGATTTCTTTTTGTATGAAGTATGTAGGGTCAGTGGTGCGTGGCGTCAGGAGAGCACCTGGAGGAATGCATAAAAGAAAGGAATGTGTGAAGGACGAGGAGAGAGGAAGAAAGCAGGTGGTGCCACAAATCCTGCGAATAGAAGACTGTGTACGTGAAGTGTTTTGTTGCGCCTGTTTGTGCAAAATCGCTGTGGATTGCTGAAATATAGGACATGCATGCAATCCTTTAAAAGTGTTTTTGAGAATGCATGTGATTTGTGCATCTGGATCGTCCTTATGTACATTGTTGGGTCAGTGCGTACCCGAAGAACATGCATGAGAGTGTGTGTATGCGTGTGTGAGAAAGTGTGAAATTCCATGTTGCAGATGTGTTTTCCAACTGACATGTTTTCAGCAAGCCATAAAAGAGACATTCCACTCCTCGCTGTGTCCAATGTATTGTTCCTGACGTGAACAAGCAGGGCTTGTAAATCTCTCTGCTCATTTCCAGAACATTCCTCACCTGACACACCTCATTAACATAGACTGGGATCCCAGTGTGTGTGTTCGTGTGCACGTGTGGGGGTGTGTATGAGAGAGAGAGAGAGGAAAATATAGAAACCCACTGTTTCTTTTATAGTTTATGAGAACTGTCAGAGAGACAGAGCTTTCGTTTGAGGGGGGTGAATGTATTTCAGAAAACATATTTCCTTAACACTCACCAGTGTGTAATCTGTCTTGAGCAATTGTTCGGTGTTTTTGTGTGTGTGTGTGTGTGTGTGTGTGTGTTTGTGTGTATGCGTGTGTGTTTGTATACCTGGCTTGTAGGACATGCCCGGTGGGAAGAGAAAGCCTTGCTGTGCAGCAGCAGCAGCAGCCAGAGACCGCTGGTCGTGAGGAAACACTGGGATCATCAGAGGGGGCATGTGACCCTGGACCTAAGAGCAGAGATAGAAAGAGAAATATTGGCATGGAGAGAGAAGGAGATGTTTGAAGACCTTATATGAAACATGTCCTGAAAATAGGACAAGGTGACCTTGACAAACACACAGCCACTCCTATATATACAAATGCTGCATACATGTATAATACACATACACACACACACACACACACAATGCAAACAGCAGGTAGAGAGACAAAAAGGAAAAAAATTGTGAAGAAAAATGGCAAATGCCAGTGAGAAAAATGGGAGGATGAAAAGGAGGAAATGAAGGACTCTCATATAAGGAGATCCAAGGAAGAGAAGAACACAAAGACAAAAGAAAGAGTGGGGGAAAGCAGCAAAGAAGAAAGAAATAATGTTTGAAAAATGAAAAGGGAAAATAATGAATAAACACAAAGGAAATATAAGAAAAAAGAGATGGTCAAGATTTAGAAATACTGACAAAATCCAAACACCGCTCATATACAGTAAAAAGAACAAAACATACATTTCAAGAATTAAACCATCAGGGGTTGAGAGACTTAATTAAAGGACAGAGACCAAACAACAAATCAAGAGATACATTCTTGACAGACAAGTGTAAATGTAAAACAAAATGCCTTTAAAACAACAGAGAGGCTAACAGCTGTCTTTCATGTATGCTTTCATGTATGCTTTAAAAACTGTGGGTTCGACTGAGTTAATACGCTGAGGGCTTGAACTGAGGAGAGCGTATCAAAGATGAGCCTGCGGGAATCTATTAGGACTGGCTGTACTTAATCACTGGACTGTCTCACTCTCTTCCCTTCCATCTCTCCCTTTATCTCATCCTTTTTCTCTTTGTTCTTTATTTTTTTCTGTCTTTTAAAATAGTTTGTCTCTTTCTCCCTCATGTCTCATTTAATTTGTCTTTCTTGCTTTCTTTGCTTCCTTTTTTCTTTTTTTCTCACTCGTTAAGTGCCTTTCAGACAGTTGGACAGGCATGTCAAACATGTTAAAGGCATTAAAAATGAAATGCAAATTAGGTATACTTAGTTTAGTTAGTTACTTTAGTTATTTCAGTTGAAAAAATGTATTGATGTTGCAATTTTCTATATCTCAATTACTTTAAAAACTTTCTCTCATGAAATGTGTTTATTCTTTTCTTTTATTCTTAAAAGTCTCCATTTCTCGACTTGTCTTTCTCTTTAGCTTTACTTTTTTTCACCTCTCACTTCCTCCTCTGTATTTGATTAATTTCCTGTTAATTACCTATCATCTATATTGCTGTTTACATATTCTTTCTTGCATTATCCATTTCTTATTTATTATAACTTCTCTCCTATTTTCTCAACACTTTGGTCTCATTTCAAATCTTTTCTCCAACCTTGTCCAGGTTTGTCGCCCTGCTCTTCCTACCATCTCTCCCTGTTTTATTGTTTTTCTTTACTGTGTTACTCTTTAAACCAAACCCTTGTCCACACCTCCCCTTCTATCTCAGTTCCCCTTCTTACCTCTGTTCAATGCCATCTACTTCCATTCATCTCCTTAACTACCAATTCATTAACCACTCTAGGCCCTCCCACTGTCCTCCTGGGACAGTTCATCATTAGAGCCCATCATCAGCATGTTGTGTGGTTACAGTATTTCTTTGCATTTGTACTGCAGGGTTACATTGTTGAATTAAATGACCATCCCCTGAGATTTTTATGGTGTGTGTGAGGGATGGTGAAAAGGTTGGGGGTAAGGAGTTTCAAAGAGCATGCCTAAATAGAGAGAAAGAGATGTGTGTTTGCTGAAGAGCAGGAGACATTAGTCAATCTATAAGATGATCAACAAAATTAATTGAGAACAATTTTGATAATGGATTAATCGTGTAACGCGTTTAACAATGAGCTTTTCCAATGTGAGGATTTACTGGTTTTCACAGTTTTAAATAATTGTAAATTGTTGAAAAATAAAGTAATATTTTTGGGTTTTGGACTGTTGGTCACTTTGGGCTCTGGAAATGTGAGATCATAATTTTTCACACTTATTTTTACATTGGATAGATGAAGCAATTCATCAGCTAATCAAAAAACATAATCGACTGATCATAAAAAAAACTACACTACAATGTATATGTCCAGTTATGTCAAATTTGCATATTTGCTTTATTCCTAATATCCTTTCTTGTAAATTATATATTGGTTAACTAAAACTACCTGTGTAAGGTAAGGGTGACACCATCATCATGGTTTGATATTTTAAAAAGCCAACAATAAATGTTTTTGATTTTTATTATGTGCAAATGCCTATCTACTGTACTACCCTGACCTCCATGCTCTTATTTTTCAAAAGCTCCATAAAGTGATGTGCTACTTATATTTTCACACTTACTGAAAAATAAATCACATAACTGCAAATGTATCAATTTACACAAATACTGAGATTGTTTGTATATGTGTGTTCATGTTCTGTCCTTGTGAGAATAAATGTAATGTGAGGTCTCAGTCTTGTCCTTGTATCTTTATGAGGACCAATCAGCGTTTTAGACCTTGAGAGTCAGGACATTTTTGCTGATCTTCACTTCATCAAAGCGCTGTTTGAGGCTTAAGATTTTAGGTTCAAGGTTAGAATTTGGTTTTGTTTATATGTGTGTGTGTGTGTGTGTGTGTGTGTGTGTGTGTGTGTGTGTGTGTGTGTGTGTGTGTGTGTGTGTGTGTGTGTGTGTGTACAAGCACAAGTCTATGCCACAACAGGGCATCATCTGTATTATCCACAGTTAGCATTATTCGGTACACATGCAGTTACATGTGTTCATCACCTGACCAGTCCTTCAGACAACGTTGTTTAGGACACACTCCAAAAAAAGCTTGGGAGGGCCTCATCACACACACACACACACAAAGACACACTGGAAGTTCAGGGTAAAAGCCAGATAGCTTGGGAGGCATTCCCACACACACGCGCGCGTGCACACACACAAGCAATCGAACGTCTTGTGACACGGAGAAAAGGGAATGAAGAGAGAATAAAAACAAGTCTGTGTGTCGTAAAAGGCTAAAAAAAAAGAAGAAGAGAGAAGTTGGGAGGGGGGGTGGAAGTTATAGAGTGGGACAAAATGCTCCCATTCATTGTATTCCTTTGGGAACACTGGGACTGCTTCACTAGCTCAAACACACAAAGATCTTCTTTTACTGAGGGGAGGGGGTCGCTGGATGAATGGACTAGGGAAGGTGGTGCTGTTGGGGCCTCCGCATTGCTCAGCCCCTAAGAAAACACAGGGCCCCCTTCCTCTGCCCACCAGAGACATCGACATACACACCTAGGCACAAGGAACATGTGTACACACGCAAACACACACTCAGAATTAATGGTCCTCTTGTGCATCGGCAGCAGGTTTAGGGGGCAATGAGTATGTATGTGGTGTGTCAGTATGTTGATGTGTTTAACAAGGAGAGAAGAGAAATGTAGTCGTCTGCTAAATGCTCTGTAGACTATAGACACACAATTGTATTAATTGTACTCCACAGGTTTCAAAATGGTGATTAAACCTTAGTTAACATTATCATAAAATAACATTTTTCAGTGATGACAATTTGGCATCATGGATGTAAAAAAATCTCATTAGTTCTTCCAAATTATGGTTATTGGGATTAGTTCTCCTTATCCTCACAAACACCAATATAACTGAGAAATACTATGAAGTGCTTCAACTTTCAAACTTCATTGTTTTGGTTCTCTAGCCTGGGTTTTTATTGCAAAGTTGAGTAGAACTGCTGTTATATAAAACTGTAGGCTACTGTTTCCTGCAAACAAGCTACTTAGCTTCAAAAAGCAGTGAGATGAAATAACATTAAACAAGTAGCTACTGATATATACCAGATATACCAGGGCTGACTGTCCCTCTGCCCCTGCGTGGTCAGACTTTGCAAAATGCAGCTTTATGACCACAATATACATAATTACATTGCTCAATTTGTTCTTTTACCGTCTTGCTACATCCATGTGAGCACAATGAAGGTGATTTTAATTGAAGCACACAGAATATGCTTATTGCATTTTTTTCTATAGGCTTACACACAGCTTAATAAACTGGAGTGAGGGAGATTGTAAAGTCAAGAGTTAGCCATTCTCCATAGCTGGTGAGTCCAATCGACGTTATGGGCTTTCCATGGCTTTCCGAGTCATTGTTTCTGAAGGTGCATGTGCTGACGTAGGATCAGCCTGTCTATCTAACGACTATTTGCCTGCTCCATTAGTTCTTATGTATGTGTGAGAGTGTGTGTGTGTGTGTGGATTATTGTCTTTGTCCTGTTTGTCTTAACACAGGTTTGGCAACCCAGACTGTTCAGATCCTCACCTAACGTCAGCACTTTGGCAAGATAAAAGCTTTTAGGTTGGATTCAGATGTAATGAAACAAGGAATTTACAGAGACAGAGAAACTGTAAAGTAGTTTATCTGCTTTACTTTTGAATATAAATACATTTGAAACTCATTTAGCTGTCCCTTAGTCCTGTGTCAAAAACTCGGGTTATGAATGTTGGTCAAAACCATATCTTTATTTTAATTAGTCACAATGTAAACATCGAAAACAGTGGGCTAATGATGTTTCAACAGGGGGAAGCACACTGTAAGGCTGTTGACTACTTCATCCACAGAAAGAAATACTGCAAGATGAGATTGAAAAGTAAAAACAAAAACAAAACAACACTCGGGCGACAAGAACTCAAAGAGAGAAGAGGAGGATGTCAGGCGAAGGAGGAGACAGAGAAGTTATAAACGAAGAACAGAGAGAGGGAGGAGGAGGAGGAGGAGGAGTGCGGCTTTGCAGTCATTAATTAGTCTGTTAGCCAGGGCCCGGGCGGTGCGGTTAGGGCCTGTGCCTTTGTGGGCCTGAAGGAAACGGGCCACATATGAAAGCCATTATAGGAACTGACTTAACAAAGACACATGCCTGTCAGCCACCAGGCTGGGCTGGGCTGCTCTGCTTGCGGCACACAAAGGGCCCACCACCACTGTGTGTCTAAGTATGTGTGTGTGCACATAGGGCCTATGTGTTTTTGCATGTGTGCGTGTGTGCTTTTTGAGCAAGTGTGCTTTTTGTATGTGTGTCATGGAAAATATATATACCAAATCAGACACATTTTTATGTGTAAGTGCATAAATGCATGCGAGCTTGCATGCACATTTACATTTTATTTATCAATATCAGTTCTTCAGTGCGTTTCGTCACCTGTTTGTGTGTGCAGGCAGTGTGTAACCATATCTATCAGAATGAGGCCTTCAGAAGCGTTTTTTTAACCCGTGGACATCCCCTGCTGGCTCTCCACACCATTTAAAACCACATGACAGGAAACCTGGGTCACTTTGAACTAAGTCAACACTCACTGACCCTCTGACACCATCCACGGACATAAAAGAAAGAAGGAATGATGAGATGTACAAATGGAAAAATTGGCTGGTCCCCACTGGGTTTTCTTTGACTCCATTCATAAATCAGAATCAGATAAGACTCAGTTTAGTCTATAAAACTTTTGCAATTTATGAATAGGGGTAGGGTTAGGGTTAGATACTATGATAATAATCACAAGGTCGGCTAACTTTATTTGCTGTGATGATGCAACAGATAGCATGTGTATGATGAACACTGCACCTCGGGGAGTTGCAACTATTCCGTTTTTCCAAAAATCTTTTTTGGTTTCTTATTCTTCCATCTGGACAACATTTAGTGTTTCACATTAAGATATGAACAACAACAGGCACGTCTAAAAAGTGGATTAACCACAATTGAGGCCTATTCTTTTCAGCTGAAACAGTAGCATTTGGTCAGCTCCACAGAGTATTGGCCTGAGAGGAGCTCAGGTCTGGATTTGATAAGTGGAAACAGACCGGTGCAGCGCTGCCTGTGTGTTTAAAGCCAACACACATCCGACACAGCGTAAACAGCCCGTACCCCAGTGACTAAGCCCTGGAGCTTAGCCATAATAATTCTAAACCTCTGTACAGTAGATAGAACATATGTTCCTTACTAAGCTGGTTTTGTTCACCAAGAAATGCTATTGTTTTAAAAAAATGACTAGACGTTGCCATACACCCAGATGTGAGGCATATTATATTTAGCAACTTATCAAACTAATTATTTGTTTTGGTCTCTTTTGTGCATTCATTGCCGTACCTTTACTAAACATCAGATTTAAGCAACTCATTTTAAATTAAATTTAACATAGAAAATAAATGTGAAACAAGAGATACAGTGGAATAGATTTCACAGATGCTTCTGAAGTACTACTTGATAAAATGCTGCTCTCAAGAGCTATTTTCTGCATATCCCTTCATCCACAAAACCAAACATGACACAGTATCCATGCTTCACAGCGTGGAAGAGGATCCGAGTAGGAGCTGGTTTTCATTGTCGATCTCCTCTAGGGCTCAGAGGCCTACTGAAGTCCGATCTGAACTTTATTAAGATCCAAGGGTGGGGCCTCGTAAAAAAAATAATAAAAAAAGGAAAAGAAGAGATGGAAAAACAAGCCCTTGTTAACTAGATCACACCTCTGGAGCACAAGGAGATCCAAAACTCGGGACCAATGGGGGTAAAGGGGTTCGGCATCAGACTGATCTGGTCACAAGTGTATTCAGCTCGTCTCAGAAGCTGATTTAATTCAGCAGCGACCCAACCACTTAAAAAAATAAGCCAATGAAAAACAAGATGGCTAACTTCCCACATGGCCATCAGCCACAGTGTGCAAATTTACCAACATTTGGCTCACAGCTGGTGGTAATTTCTTAGTGAGAATGTATGTATATACAGTGCATGGATCATAAATCGCAGTGCATCAGGAAGCAGGTACAGGAATGACAGAAGGAAGAAGACTGTACTATTTATTTTCTTGTCAAGCTTATATTATTTTGTTTTTTTTCAATTCATTGTATGGGTTCGATTTATGAAAGCTGCAAAAAAAGTAAATAGAAAGAAGAAACAGCAGATGCTTAACGTGAGCGGACAGGAACAAGTATATGTGTAAAATAAGAGAGAAAGATGAGTGCATGTTGGGTTCAAATGTTCAATGTTGATATATAGACAATTGAAAGAGAAAGAGTGGGAGGAAGCCTGGAGGATGCTGGGATATTGATCACTGAGTGATCAATGCAGCAGTTAATGATCCAGTTGTGCGTTATTGTGTGTGTGTGTGTGTGTGTGAGAGTGTGTGTTTCTGCATGACTCCATATAAATGCAAGCCTGGTGTGGTGTAACTACCTCATACCTCTCAATAGCAGGTAAAACATAAAAGCAGAGGTCACAACCTCTCATATTATTGTTGTTGTTTTCCAATCTCAAATGACTCAATAATCATGAAACTGGAGGAACAGGAGGAAAATGGACACTGACATGAACAGCTTCCTCATAGAGATAGACACAGCAAAGAGACGATGAGGAAGAAATGAGGGGAGTCTGCAGAGGGCAAGGGGAGTCAGCTCAAAAATGTGAGGAATGACCAAAAGAAGTGTGAGTGAGTGTGTGTGTGCATGTGGGTAGCTGGGAAGCTGTGTCTGCCTACTAACCTGGATCTGTTGTTGGAGAATGTTTATCTTATGCTGCTGCTGCAGGAGCTGCTGCTGTTGTCTGGCAATCTGTATACACACACAAAGATATATAGAGAATAACTGTTTCTATATTATGTCTTCTATGATTCTAAGAAGACCTCTTTCTTCAACAGGTATGTTATACATGTGACCAAAAAGGTTGTTCCAGGATGAAAATCAGGTTAAAATATACCATCTGACGTCCAGACACTGCACTAACCAGTTGTTGCATTTCATGATTTTACACTACTTAAATACTAAAATAATAAAGACAAAAATGTTCAGGCCCACTGAAAAATTATTCTGACATGTGGTGCAACAGTTCATGCCGCATTCAAAATCCATATCAAGACATTTCTGACCTCCAACACAAGAAGTGGGCCAACCAGAGCCTGAACTAAGGTGTTGAAAAACTTCCAATGAGGTCAAAAATGTCTCAAATGCAGTACAACAAATCAGAAAGAAGGTACAGTGACAGTGAGTTAGGTATGTGTTTGATCTCAGATTTGTATGTCAAAGAGCCTCCGCCGAGTATGGCAGATGGTACAACAAATTTATGCAATTAGCAGTGTGCAGAGGAATTGAACAAATCTCTTAACTGACACTGAATCTGTGAGACTGACATGTTTACTAGGCCAACAACACCCAGCATGCCTCTAGAATCCCCCCAACCCACACTCATGCTCCATGATCAACACTCATCAACAGGAAGGGCGATCATAGTTATTTCTTCCTCTGTTGTTTTGATGTAAGATTGTGTAATAAAAAACCTATACAGCAAAAGGTTAAAGGTTTGAGTCTTAGTCAGTGACGGGCAGCTGGAACCGGCCAGTCGTGTGAGGTTAAAATCCTTAAAGGGACAGCACGTCAACTATTTGACGCCGCCCACTCTAAGCAAGAAAAGTAAAGCAGCTGCCTCTCTTTTTTTTCTTGAGGAGTCATTTAGTATATTTATTCTGAAATGTAATTACAGGCTGCTGAATGGGAGGCGGCGCCCCATTTGCACACATGTCATATTTCATTAAAGGCAAATTTTTCAGGGTTTGTCTGTAGGGCATTATCTTATCAAGTCTCAACAGCCAAATGACTGGTTGATATTGGAATCTGTCTTTCTTTTCACTCTCTCCATCTTTCCCGTTTCTTTGTGAAGCTGTGAAAGGTGGAATGTGTTGTGATGGGAGTTGTGGACTTGTCCAAACAGAGCCTTTCGTATGCCGACCTACAGTAACGTGTCGACAAACAGCAAAAAACAAAGAGCTGCTCACCTAAACAGCTCTCTGCTTAGACTGTGACACCTGAAGACAGCGCATCAGCATCAGTAACTTTTTCTACAACCTTTGAAGCCACACCGATACACACAAACATACATACACTTGGATCTTATTGTGAATATTTTGGCCATCATTACTTATGATGACATTTTACAAGCCATCAACATAAAGTCCAAGGGACGTGAGCGGCCAGGCAATCATGAAGGTTGAACTCCCAGACCTCAGTCTACATACCCTTATAGTCAAGGACACGACTGGATTGGAGGACAGAATAGTATTCATTTTAACATTTGCCTTTCTTTTTTTTTCTGATTTGAATTTGCTAGTTTATCCAACCTGTCTGATCATCTGAGTGCAAATGTTCTTTACTATGTGAGACTCATTTCTGATTAAGTCAATGCATTCCCATAACATGTGGTCATACCTGAAAAGAATGAAGGTAAGGAACTATTACAGCATCTTTAATATCCCCAGAACTTCAACTTACAAGAAGCTGACAATTTTAACCTCTCTGTCACTAAAAATCATTCTTTATCTCTTAACCTTACAATTACTGCCATACTTGTTAGTATAACTTATGCGCGCGCACAAGCGTGAACAATGTGATTATTGTGGTGCTATCATTATACATAGACACTTACTGAAAGACCAAATACAGCTACTATATGGCTACCTACGCTAAATCAGATAATACAACATCAACAACACCGCTTCCTCCACAAGACCCTCCTTACCTGCTCCTGCTGCTGCCTGGCCAGCTCCATCTGTTGTCTCTGCTTCTCCAGCTGTGAGGCGGCCATCTTTTTCTGCTCATCATGGGCAGACAGAAGCTGCTCCCTCAGATTGATCAGCTGACCAATCATGGTGGAAAGTTGGTGCTCCTTCTCCTCCAGGGACTCCGGCGTACCTGGACAGGATCGAGAAGAAAGTGCAAGAGAAGGAGGGGTTATAATTTGACCTTACAGTATTTGGTTAGATGTAGAATTCCCTGTGTTGCTCATTGGCTAGAGCATGGTATTAACATTGCATGGGTTGGGTATTCATTTCCCACTGAGTTTAGACATACCAAACTTTGAAAATCATCTCAAAATCACACGTACCCTGTTAATATGAACCAACAAGCACAAAACAACAACAAGTAATTTGGTGAAGTTTCATGGTGACGCTTAACATGCTACTTCCTGAAGAGGGCCATGACTGAAACAAGTTTTGTTCTTTGGCTTGAAGTACCTTGTAACTTTTTCATTTATAAAAAATCCCCAAACCAAAGCAAGTTCAACAAAAGCATCCACAAACTAAAAACAAACAAACATGACCAACATGAACGAGAAACCTTGTAACTTGTAGCTACATCTTACTACTTATTATCTTCTGTCTTGTCTCTACATGCCATCAGTGTTTATCACTTACTGTCTGCACCCAAGAACAATATCCTCACTTTGAGTTATCCTTTCAAAATAAGTAGCTGTTACAGGTGTTTGCCAGGTTTATGATTTTAACATTCTTGGGAGCCTTTAGTCAGGAAGTAGGGCCAACACCAGTAAGACTCCTTTTAGATCCTGCCCAATCAACAAATTACTATGAATGTATCATAACAGATAGTGATAATTTAAAACAATATTTACTCTTACTCTTATTTATTATCACTTCATTATAAAAATGAATGTTATGTCACTACAAAGTCTTCATACTTTGCATTTAGCTCTGACCAGGATATCATACCTGCACTTCTTTGAAATGTCAAATTAGAAACTCTCTCCATATTACATCTGTCTTTCCTTGTCAGTTTTTAAAGATCTTTTCCCCTGTTTTCTCCTTATTTTGGAATGCCCAGTGTGTGGAATGCCCAGTAAAATCGCTGCTTACTGTACTGTTGGCATTGGGAGGGTTTCGTCTGCATGGTGCTTCACTGAGACGACATAACATGTGGAGGTTTACAGAATCTCCCAAGATCCCTCCTCTCTTCAAGCAGTCCCCATAAACTAGTAAGAGTTGCTAATGTAACGACTAGATGATGATCCCTCACCAGCTTCACAACCTTGAGCATGTGAGCGTTGTTGGGCGTCAAGCCTGAGGTCAAGTCAAAGCATTAACCAGGACAAATAATTTCGGTCAGACATACTTTTGTCACAGAATTGATCATTGATAGCAGCAAAAAGGAGGCCGCTAGGAGGCCTAATCCTCCATTATCAAATACATACATGACTTTTTCATCTACCTGCATTATTATGAGTCAGCTGATAGCCACACAGCTGGTGAATGAGCCAATGATTGTAAAACATGAAAGGCTGATGCCAATCCGAGGTGACTTCAGACATGCTTGAAAAGATTAGTAAGTCAATGACTGGAAAATATAATCAAGTCCTGTCATTTTTGTCTGTGTTGCATATAACTGACCAATAAGGGCCTGGACAAAAGGCCATGTTTTTGCAGCTTCAGCAGGGCAGACTGCACATTGGAAAACTCTTTGTCCTTTTCCCTTGAATCCCCGTTGAATTGGCTGGGATCTGAGTTGACATCTGCCAGCAGCATGAAGAATGGTTACTTCATTTCCACAACAACATCATTTATAGAAGAAACACACTGATGATGGAAGCTCAACAGAAGCCCTCTGAGTAATTTACATCAAGTATAGTAAGCCAGCACAACATTGCCTGACCCTAGAGTTACTATTATTGTGTGTGTGCGTGTGTGTGTGTGTGTGTGTGTGTGTGTGTGTGTGTGTGTGTGAGGGGGGGGGTCTTTTTTAGTGAATGCATACCACTCATGGCCAACATGTTCAGAAGTCCCTGGTTTGCTGTGCCAATGTGTGTGATTGAGTCTTCTTTATTGTGTAAATGGGTACAAACACACATGCAAGTTCATCTTGTGTGTGTGTGTGTGTGTGTGTGTGTGTAAGGTCTTGCCCTGGGGCCATGTAGGGAGATTGCAGGGTGGCCCCAACACTACCTGCATACTAACAGAGTCACCATTGTAGTCCTGTCAGGCCCCTATTGTACCCCAGACTGCCCCCCCTCGTACACACACACACACACACACATATATATAACACACACACAGAAATTACCCCTTAGCACCCCTGTATCAAAGGCAACATTCTCCTTTTCTTGTCTCTTTTTTCATGCTTTCATTCTCTCTTTTTTTCGGTTTTTCCCAAACAACCTCCCCATCAGTTACTCTCGAAGTCCAGGTTCTCCCCGTGGTCTCTCCTCTCGTCCTGTGCTTTCCTTTCCTTTCCTCTCCGTATACATTTCCTACGTTCCTTTTCTCTCTTCTCATCTCATCTAATTCATTTTGTTTCCTGTTCCCCTCCTTGTTTCCTTTCATCTCTTTTCCTCTCCTTATTCCTTCCCTCCTCCATTTTTCTTTGTTCTTCTCTCCTTTCCCTTTCTCTCTTTTCCTCTCCTTTTCTCTGCTCTCAGAATTCCTATTCTGATCCCATCTTCCCTGCTCTTTTAATTCCTCCTTTTCTTGCACCGTCAGCTTCCTCCTTCTTCACTCTCTTCTCCTTTTCCCTTTGCTTTCTTTAACTTTTCCTCCCCTCCTCTCCCCTTGTTCACTTTCGTTTTCTCTCACCTCCACTCCTCTTCACTTGCATCACCTCCACCCTACTACTCATCTCCTCTTCTCTCTGTACTTGCCATCTATCTTTTCTTCTTTTCTCCGCTCATTACCTCTCCTCTATCTCTTCACCTCCCCTCTTTTCTCATCAGCTCTCTCAATCACCTCTCGGCCATCTCCCCCTTTTTCGTTTCTTCATAACCTCCTCTCACTTCCCCTCTGCTCTTATCATCACATAATCCTCCCTTCCTCTCTTTTTTCCTTCTTCACCCCTCCCTTTGGCCAATGAAGTCTTGCAACACTGATGCATACTTTATAAGGTTGCCATGTCTTAAATCACAAACACACACAGACTTCTTCCTATTCCCCTACATTCCTTGCAGTAAAGTAAAGCCTATTGTGTAACACAACAACTGCAATTACAGCTCCGTGATTCATCTTTGTGGATTACGGGATGCGCATTCCAAACGAGACATCTTGCGTTCTTTCAACGCTTCTGGCACCAAAAATCATCTCAGATGTTTTCCGTTTACCATCCATCAGGATTATTCCCGACACCTACTGAGGCCACCAGCCAAAACTAAAAGCAATTAACTGTTTTCTCATTCTGTTTGGACGATGAGGTTGAACCAAGACTGGAGCACGGTCAAAACTCGTACTTTAACTTCAACTTTTGTTAGTTGGTACTGTTTACACAATGTTTGGATTTATAGGAAACAGTAATATCACAAGTAATAAAAGGGTATTGCTACAGTAGAATGTGTACTAAGAAAATGCAAATCAATTACAGTAATCCAGATTTTGTTTTCTACACCTCCCACCAACCCACGTATGTATAAAATTGCATGCAAGTATTTTTATAAACTTTTATTGAATTGCTTTTATTGCTTGAATTGTACCTTGATTTTCTTCTCTATTGTTTTCCTTTACTGTGAATCTTGTTTTTTCGTCAGAAAAGGCCAGAAAGAGTTACTGTCCTGCAAAGACAATATTTCTCAAAACTGTCAACTAAGAAGATTTTTTGAATCAATGTATGTTTTAGACAGTGTTTTATATGGTTTATTTGGCTTAAGATTTAGCTCAATCTTACAAACCCATAAAGAAATAAATCTTTTAGTTGATCTGAAAATTGAAAAATGAATGAATTTGGAGAGACATGGTTTTATTTAAACAGCAATGATATTGTAAGTTGTACTTTTATGACTTTTTTGCTTACATAAAGGCTGTGAGTCATTTTACAGATAAAATGATGGTATAAAAGAAATCATTATTTTAATGATTATTCAATTATGTTACGTAACTATGTGGAGCCACACAATATATATCAAAATCCTGTCAGAGCCACTGCCCCCTACGCTCACACAAACACACCTAATGACACACGCCATGATACAAACATTTAGACACACAATGACACAAAAAAACACAGATAAAAACCATCCCACTCTCACAATATCACACTTCATGACAACTCCGGACGCCTTGGGCTTCTGCCAAATCATATTTCATGACGACATCTGTGCGCCAAACTCCCAGCATTCCTGGATGACTAAACCTTCTCTTCAGTGTCACACCACAACAAACACTTTTATCAAAACAAGTGACAAAGATTAGCTGGGTACAAAGATATTATATATAGTACTCAGGTTTACTGTACACAGTTAACTACTCCATATGGTCAATAATATATATTTGAAAATAAAAAGTCGCTTGATTTAAGTTAGTCTTGAATGTCAGTGTGATTATTGTGACAGATGTGCCAGTTCTTGCATCTGACAGTATAATCAGTCACTTTAAATCCATCTGTTCTTATGAGATTTTTGACTTGTTTTTAAAAATGTAAATGTTTTTTAAAATGTTCAAAATAAAAAAATTTAGAATTTCTTGCTTGGCTGTGGTGGGAAAGTATCATTACAATAATATCTGTTGGAAAATTGATCAAAACATCTGCACACTCCTCTCAAGTGCAAACACATTATTTATTATGTATGTTTTGGGTCACAAAGTTTGAAGTAGCCCCTTCTTGTTTTGTTGTGGTGTGTAGTAGTTTTGTAAAGTTTTACTAATATGAATGGGAAATCACCTCAGGAGAGAAAGTTTTGTGCATCGAGATTTTAACAAGACTGTTCTATCAAACAAAAGCTGAAGAGAGCAAATAATCACAAAACTGAAGTGAAGCTTTAAAATATCCTGCTAGAGCTGCACAGTAGATGAGTGAAGTCATTCTGGGCACATTTCCAGATGTGTACGGGTGCAACAGTGAGGCATGTTGCAGTTAAAAATCATATATGTGCTGTACATCACAAGCATGTTGAAGTGCATTAGTGAGCGCTAATGAATGTTCAA